CGCCCACGATCACTTGCTTCAAGCAGTCGCAAGACCTTCTGCACCATGCCGATGAGAGGTTTCAGGACCAAGCACAAGTCGTCAGCCATGGAAACGGTCGAACAAAAGCCCAATGCCAGCCCGGCTGAAGCCCAAGCTCGCCAGGAAGCCAACTTCGCTGACATTGAATCTCGATTGCCCAAACGTTATAGAAGGACTGAAATGGGCTTGATTGACAAGGGCACCGGTATGGCATGTTCAGCCCTCTGAAGGCGAGTCTATTGACATTTCCTAGCAGCTCTTTTGGGTTCGAAGAATCCTTTTGGCAAGAAGGCGACTGCCAAGGACAACGTCGTCTGGCTTCTGGACAACACTGCCTACCGCCCTGTCAAGCCCGGAAGAGACGATGCTCAGCCGTGGGAGGCCGAATTCGTTGCCTGCTTCTTCCACAAAGGGCGCAAGGACATTTCGAAACAAGTTAGTGCCATTGCGGACATTATAGGCCTGGACGGCAAGACTGGGAGTAATGAAGGGGCCAGGAAGAGGATTGAAGAACGTCTCAGACCCTTCATCATGGCTATTGCTCCCGCTCGCACCGTCGACATCAGCATTCCCTGTCCCACTCCAAACGGAACCCCTCACAAACGCTTACTCGGGCCCTCGAACGCCAATGGTATCAGTAGCCAGAGTTTGCTCACCGGCGGTGCTGATGATGCCGACGGAAAGACAGTCATCTGCACCAGCGAAGGGAATGTATTCCCCGACCTGAAAGGGGACACCCGTTTCGCAGGACCTGAAGGCTGGGGCGTTATCTCCGACATTGACACCATCAAGGTAACCATGACCACGGCTCCAACCGGTATCTTGCAATCCACGTTTGCCGATGTACCCGTGACGACGTCTGGAATGGAAGAGTTCTACAAGGTCCTGGACGAGTCGCTGAAAAAGCCCGCTTGGTTCTACTTGTCAGCTTCTCCCTACAACCTCTATCCATTCCTGCGTGAGTTCCTTGACAAACACTACCCTCCAGGGACTATGATCCTGAGAGACGCCTCGTGGATGAACTTTGCTGGCCTGCTGCAGTCACTTACCCTGGGTGTCGAATCATACAAGACCGACCGTATCGAAAAGATCCACACCTGGCTACCACGACGCCACTTTATCTGCATTGGTGACTCCACACAGTCGGACCCGGAAGCCTACGCTGATATCTACGCCAAATATCCGGACTGGATCAAAGCGATCTACATCCGTAAGGTCACTGACGCTCCTCACATGGAGAACAAAAACAAGCCTCAACGATTCAGGGATGCCTTCAAGGACGTCCCGGACAATGTTTGGAGGGTGTTTGTCGATCCGAAAGAGCTAGCAGACCACGTCAAACACGTCGCCGGCGTTGCACATGCAGGCATGCTAGGCAACATGCTGAGTATGTAGTGCCAGACTGAGCATGATAAGAGGCCGTCACGATCGCCCTCAAAGCAAAATCTACGTACTCCGCAGCCCGGTACACCCACAGGAGCCAGAACCCCACGGTCGTCGAGCCCTATACCCAAGGATCGAGGTCAAGTTGGCAGAGACGTTGTGAGTGCGCCGGCGAGTCCAGCTGTCAAGAAGGCCAATTCAAAGTGAGTGTGGGAAGAGAGCACACGACGGAGTTGAAATCCTCCGACAGAGCAATGGGTTGGAAGCTCGCAGGTGGAACTTTGGGATGAACACGGGAAGATTGTTGGAGTGGTTGCATTGTTAGCCGTGTGGAAACAACACAGATGTTCATGTCTTGACGAGTGACAGCGTTCATAGCACCTAAATAATGTCCGAACAACGATGAATCCGAACTTTGCCTCGGAACCTGTGTGACAGTCAAGGCCATGGTCGATGCTTGACAGACCCATGCCACGTGTAGGTAGGCGAATGCAACGTCGGACTCCGCGAATGCTGAGTCCAAAGACATTTTGTCGGTGGTTGATGTGTGTCACAGGTATTGTCTGTCTCCGTTTTTCCTGTCAGGCGTACTCGTTGCTGAGAGATGGGACCAGCGGAGTTCTCGAGGACTCGATCACCCCCCTCCACGGTTGCATCTGCGATGCAATCCAACGAGGTCACATTCTTCACGAAATAGATGGGTAGGCCTGACAAGAAATGGCCATCATGACTGCGAGGAGATAGGATGCATCGGAAGCCTGGCACATCGCCGCGTCTCGCCACTCCACCACCTCGCAGCGACTTCAGGCTAGGCATGATGGTAGGCCACAGGAGGCCAATCCCCCGTGCCCCCAGGCAAACCGGCTCCACTGACGGGCATGGAGGCGTTTGCTTGAGCAAAAGCTTGTGATGCTTGTGCTCGAACGCGTCCTTTGAACGACCGCGATTGGAAGACGGCCTTCCACACCCGAACTGCTCCTCTTCTTCCATCTGCATTGTGCATTGTCGTCATCGCCAGCGCTCTGTCCGCAGTGGGCAGAATGGCTGTACCGTGTATCCCACTCCGCGACCTGAGGTGGTATCGATCGCCATCGCCAGCTGTTACTCTTATGCCGATTTAATATCGCATGTGCCCAAGGGTTTGGGCTTTCCGTTGAGTATCTGCCAGTTTCCTTCCTTCTCGCTATATTGCTCCCTGCCTAGCTCCTAGAACAAGTACCTGTTCAATCTCACTGATAGGCTAGCTTGACCGCGTCTATCGTCACCTGCGGTGACCTCGATGTCTGCTACAGATACTAAGGAAGGCACTGGTGCCAGCAAGCCTACAACAGCGACATCCTTCATCAGCCCATCGCAGCGAAAGCTCTACGACCCAGCCGTCACATTCGAGGAATATGTGCATTATGCGCAGCGAACGAGGGAAGAAGAGAAGATCCAGCAGAACATTCCCATCGAAGATGGCATACTCCAACAAGTCTTTCGGAGGAAATCTCATGTCACTGATGGGCCAATGCCAGTGCCCTACAGTGGCGTCAATACTGCGGAAAAGGGCCCAGACAAGGATGGACACCCTGCCAACGGAGAAGACCCTCAACCCCGGCGCAGAAGCACTCTGTCCCGCCGCTCCGTCATCACAGACGAGGAATGGCGGAACGCTTCTCGCGCCTTGAGGACTGCCAGCTGGGGAGCCGGCTTCTATCTTATCACTACGGACATCCTCGGGCCTTATGGGGTCGGTTTCGCGCTGGGCACACTCGGATGGGGCCCTGGCGTTGCTCTTTATACAGTTTTTGCTTTTATGGCCGGTTACTCTGGCTATCTCCTGTGGCAAGTCTACCTTGGCCTCGACAGCTATGAGTATCCCCTGCGCAACTACGGCGACTTGGCCTATCGCACCATGGGCACAGTTCCACGCTACGTCGTCAACATCCTACAGTCGATCCAACTACTCCTCATCTGTGGACAAGTCATCATTCAGAACGGGCAGGGAATATCCCAGACCAGCAGGTTCCGGCTTTGCTATGTCGTCTGCGTCATTCTCTTCGTCATTGCTGGCTTCTTCATAGGGCAAGTCCGCACACTGAGGAACTTTGGTATCTTCTCCATGATCGCCGTAGGCATCAATCTCCTGGTCATTTTCATCTCGATGGGCGTAATGGCTCATTCGCCGCCCAACTATTCCATATCCGTGCTCGGCTCTGCGGGCTCTGCAGTGAATCCCGAGAGCATAACACCAGACGCCAGTGGGGTCTATCCACCGATCATCCACTACGGCGGCATGCCAGACAGCGGGAATTTCGTGGGCGCCATCAACGGCTTGATGAGCGGAGTCTTTGCTTATGGCGGGGCGCAACTCTTCGTCGAGATCATGGCGGAGATGCGTCGTCCTTGGGACTTCATCAAGGCCATGTGGTCGGCTCAGTTCTTCATCTACGCTGTTTATCTCATCTACGGATGCTACGTTTATCACTTCCAGGGCCAGTACTCTTTCACCATATCATACATGGGCTTGTCGCCCTATGGGTTCCAAGCAGCGTGTGATATGCTTGTTATGGTGTCCGGACTGATTGCGGCGGGCTTGTATGGCAACATTGGTATCAAAGTGCTGTACAACCAAGTGTTGCAGGAGTTGTTTGGTGCGCCTCCATTGACGACCAGGGGCGGCAAGTACCTATTTGCTTCGATTGTGCCAATCTATTGGAGTATTGCCTTTGTGGTTGCTGCTGCTATTCCGGTGAGCTTCTCCTCATTCAAAGCCCCTGCCCAGGTGTGCTCTGGTGTCGTTCCAGCTGACGCCAGATTCAAGGACTATTTCGGCTTCGTCTCCGTCATCGCGGCGTTCTGTATCGTCCAATTCTCTTACTCATTCCCCCCGATAATCCACCTCGCCTACACCGTGCAGAGGAATTCCATGGAACCCAACTCCGGCTTCAACCCTACGACGGGGCAAACTACGAGCGCTCACCGCCGCCTTCGCACCAGGCTATGGAAGGGATTCTGGGCAGATAAATGGTACATCAACGTGTGGCATGTCATCCACGCGGGTGGAGCCCTAGCGACGGCTGGTTTTGGAGCGTATGCGGCGATCCAAGGCATGATCGAGGCTTTCAAGATCCCACAAGTTAATAGCTTTACGTGTAGGAGTCCGTTGGATTTGTCCACTGCATAAGGATCGAGGGATGGAGGTTCTTGTGTTGAGGGCACCTGGCAAGAACCGTCAGTGAAGCGGTCGGGGCTGTTCTGAGGTGAGTCGGGTAGATTGCTAATGAGAAGGTATGTCAACATGCTGCATATCACAGAGCTTCGCAGCCAGTCGAGATGGAACAACGGTCCTGGAGTCAGAAGGTAGGACATGAAGACAAAATCTCAGACACTGCAATGCCGCGAAGACTCGGTAGTTGTTTCCATCATCCTTACGATCTAGCGCTTGGACTCAGCAAGAGCAGGAATGGTTTGGAAAGAGCCACTTGAGTCGTCCATCTACTCAGCTATCCCTGCATCTACTATACACAAGGAATACCTCCATATCATACTTTTGCCTGGCGTTTCATCTTTGTATCTTTCTCAGCCGGTTTTTCTCTGAGTTGTCACCAGCCATGCCTCTTCATCCAGCCATGCTTTCAAGGTTAGCCATCGCTTCGAAAATGCCACCTCTCTCGCTGACTTTGCAGCCTCGGTGTCAAAAAGAAACCGGACGCCCCGAATCTCCCATCCGCTGATAAGCCGTTCGAACAATTCTTGTGGCTTCTCAAGCATCAAGTGGTCTTGCTCGTACCCGATTTCAAGGACGGCGCATTCAAAGACAAGATCACCTGGAAGACCAAGCTAGTCGACTGCTTTGACATCCTGGTCCACTCCCCCCTGCTAGACAAACATGAAAAGGGAATGCTCTTGGAGATCATCGACGGTATCGAAAGGTTGGCCGACGAACATAGAACTCCCGGCAGGAAGATGACCTGTGAAGAGATGTGTGTGAAGCACAGAGATACGTTCGCGGGATTCTTCATGATGGTTCAACTCGATCGCGCAGTCAACGGCATGGATGTCATCTCGCAGGAACTGAGAAAGGGAGTGCTGGCCAATCTTTCCTTCGAGGGACAATGCAAGGATTTCGGTAGACTCGCGGTCATTGAAGAAGAGACATAGGACCAGCGACTGAGGCGGACAAGCCAAAGAACGACAACAATGGCAACCGCGCAAAGATCAAGGACAGTTATGCGGCTCTCCGTGAAGGCGCCCCAGCTTTATGCTTTCTCTGATACCCAACTACAAGTCACGAATAGGGCAATCAATAACCATGCGTCAAACAGGTTTCCCAGGCCCATTCACTCCTGACAACAAAGATGCCAGCCGACTGTGGCGATTGAGTATTTCAGCAAGCCTCTTCGCGTATTCCCTTCTGATCTATCACGCTCAGGACTCTGGTTTCTGGGTTGAGTAGCCCCCGACTGTGCTCCATGCTTAGTTTTGTCCCAGTCAGTCACTGGCATGAAGGATCACACCACATCCTAACCACAAGATCACAGTCCACAACCCGAACTCGCCATGAATCCTCCATCCGGACCTCCACCACCGCCACCAGCCCATCCGCGCGAAGCATTTCTTTACAAGTTCAAGGGTGAATTCATCGCACTGATGCTTCACTACAAAGCCGGCATGTTCAGAGGCAAGATCAACTGGTCCGTCAAGCTCGTTGATTTCTTCGATGTCCTTCTCCAATCCCCTGCGATAGACAAGAGTGAGAGGCTCCTCTTCGCAAAACTGGCGTGTCAAATTGGAACCCTCACTTCGATCGCAGACCCGGACAACAGTTGGATTGGTCAGACGACGCGGCAGGAGCATCATCACACCATGCAGCTTTTACGGGCCATGGTTGATGTGGAAAAGGCGACGCGGGGACGGCACTCGTTGACCGGATCGCTGAGGAACGCTGGATTCAATAACTTGAGCTTTGAGGTAGGGATCAATGGCGCTGGCCAGGTTAGCTCAGCACGGAGCAAGGAGAACGCAAGTGAGCATTACGGTGTCCCACCAGAGCAGGGATAGTGACAGTAGGGCGGTTGACTGACCAAATCGAAGCAGGATACAACAACCAACCTCCGGGCACACCACTACCAATGGGCATGCAAGCGGCGAGCAACAGTCGACCGGTGGAGACAGCAGGGACAGCAGGGACAGCGGGAGCAGCACTACTGAGTGGCATGCCAGGTGCAGCATCTGGCAGCTTTCAACTTCCGATGTTTGACAATCAAGATCCGCCGCAGCAGTCAGGTCATCCTTACATCCCACCGAGCGCCATGGACTCCCACTTTGAAGGGTTGGGCGAGTTTCGGAGTCCAATGCCAGCTGCCAACGACACGAACTCCGGGTCAGCAAGCAATGCAGGCAATCAATGGCAGAATCAACAACCGACCGCGGACGATTGGCTCGCGAGGGCATGGCAAATGCAGCAATGACAAAGGGTGATGGGAGGACAACTGTGGCTGTACTCGAAGTCTGCCTCGTGGAATGGAAAACACTGTGTATGCACTCCGTACTCCTGTGTCTGGTACTGTAGCTCGATCGACATAGCAAGAGCAACAATACATCCCCAAGCCGAGACTGTCGTATTTTCTTCTCGTCAAGTTCCAATCTCGTACACAGAAGTTGACATCATCTCCTGCATTGCGGTCTATCAGAATTTTGGTATTTAATTAGTTCTTCCCCCACACAGGCGTATTGAAGGTGCAATGCCTTGTTATTGTGTCCTGCAGCACCACTTGCTCGGGGTGGAAACGCCTCTCGCACGCTGATGGTGTCCAAGCCCAAGATCCAAGCCCTTACGATGCGATCCGATCCAATCCAACACTTACTATCAAGTACGTAGCCAGACCACATCAGACAAGTAGGCGATGGGTGGTATATCGTACTGTATTTGTTCCATGCCTCTCCCGAACTGTGTGGACAATCAGACGATGGCGATATATCGTACTGCAACTGTCCCGTTATTCACTCCCTGTACACCGCCGACGGCATCATCCTCGGCCGCCGCCACGTCATCAACTCATGGCAAACTTGGACCTAGCTCTCAAGCTGGCGCCATAATACCACAGCGCCCAGATGCCGAGCACGCCACCGCACAAGAGGCCGCCAAGCAGGGAAATGCCGCGCCCGATGCCCAGGTTGACGTACAGCGGGTGCGCGTAGATGATACTCCCGGCGGCCAGCGCGGAGCGGCACAGATCGTTGGCGGCGAACAGGCTGGCCGCGTACCGAGGGTAGGTCAGGGGCAAGTACATGAAGATGCACTGGAAGAGGACGAAGGCGCCGACGGCGTACAAGGTGATGCCCAGGATGGAGACGATCCAGTGGACGTCGGCGCGCGCCGTCCAGCCGAACCAGAACATGCCCGCGGGGAGGAGGGTGGTGGCGAACAGCGCCGGCACGAGGCGGTGTTCCTGCGCGCGCAGGCCGTGGCGCCGAATGTCCGGCTCGAGGTACAGGTAGACGTACGAGACGTAGATGACGATGCCCACCGCGCAGCCGACGACGATGCACACGAACACCACGCCCAGCTCCCCGATGTTGAAGTCGTAGATGCCAATGTACACGAGCGGGAAGGCCTCGAAGAAGGAGTAGTAGATTCCTGCGTGCCCGTCCGAAATTGTGTCAGTGGCCCACGTACGTATGCAGAAGAGGGGGGCGGGGCAATAATGGCAACCCACCGTATATCAAACTCGTGTACACGTTGGTGAAGAAGACGGCCGGGTCCTTGACGAAGATCTCGACGGGCTTCCACATCTGGTCGATGGCGACTTTGGAAAAACTCATCTGGCCCTGGTCGATCTCGCCTTGCGACTTGAGGTTCGCGTTGCCCGTGAGTTGACGGAGCCGCTGCGCCCGGCGGAGCAGGATGTTGCTCGCCGACGTCTCGGGCATGGCCAGAACCATGAGCACCAAGATGGGCCCGGACATCCACAGCACTTCCCACAGGGCCCAGCGCCAGCCCTCGGCCACGACCGAGAAGCCAGAGAGCAGGGGTCCCACGGCTGGGGCGCAGAACGCGGCGGCCACCCACGCCGTGAGCGCGTAGGGCAGTTTCAGCAGGCCGTACATGTCGCCCATCGAGGCCCCGCCCGTGGCCAGGCACGGCGAGCCCATGAACCCGGTCAGGAATCGGAGCACGAGCAGCGAGGCGTAGCTGTTGGCCAGCGCCGTGGGCACGCACAGGATGACGAACAGCCCGAACGAGACCATGTACGGGATGTTGCGGCCGATGGCGGGGATTTCGGACAAGGGGGAGAAGAGCCTGTGTATGTGTGCGTGTGTCATCAGTCATTTCGTTCTCAAAGTTGTAGCGCTCTTCTTTGTGGGAACAACAAACTCACATGGGCCCGATGCCGTATCCTATCACGTACATGCTCAGGCCGAGACTCGCTTTGCTCTGCCCGACGCCAAACTTGGCCATGACCTGCGGTTCGGCCGACGTGTAGATGGCCGACGCCGAGTAGACGGCGAAGGTGTAGATGAAGATGAGGAACGCCACCCACACCTTCTTCCAGCTGTTCCAGTTCTGCGGGTTCGCCGGGTCGTCCGTCGTATACCAGTCGACGAGGACGATGCCGTCCGAGGTGCGCTGCGGCGCGATGACGCTGCTTTGCTTGCGCTCGATGGCCTCCTCTTGTTCGACTTCGAACCGTTCCCGCGAATACGGCGCCGTCTGCTCACGTGTCCGCGTGCGCGTCGTCACCACGCCAAAGTCTCCTCGCGCCGACGAGTGCGACGTCGGGATCGTGCTGAGTGGTGGTCGAGCTTCGATATCCTCACGGTCGACGTACGAGTCCGAGGGCTTGCGAGACATGGCGTGCGGAGTGCTGACATCGCTGGAATCGTGGCTGCTGGGGATCGCCGCGGCCTCGACTTCCTTTCCCTTCTCCATGGCCGTGGCCTGCTCCCAGGGGATTTGGAAGCCGGGCTGCTGTTCGGGGAAGCCGAAGTATCGGCCTTTGGACATCCAGTTGATGAACTGCCCTAGCGGGGCATCTTGGATGGCGTCTGCAATTGCCCCGCCCATCGTGACTGTGTGAGAGATAGATACTGGTCAGGAGAACGAGACAGTCGAAGCAGCGCTGGGGCACAATGCAAGGAAGAAGGCTGGAGCTCCAAAGAGCGGGATAGGAACCCCTTTCTATAGAAAGAGTCCCGGGGACATGGAGCCATGTTGATGGCGATTAATCATGCATGGAAGGGTAGTTTCCACATGCTGAGGTACAGCGTGCTGGCGTCGAGCATGGTACGGTACGTCCGCAAAGCACTAGCCTTGCTTGTAAAGCCCACAGGGTGTAGGAGGTTGTCCAAGGGGAACTTGCTCGGTGTATGGCAATCCGTCTCCACATGACAAAACAGGAGATGTCCTTCGAAGGCCGTCGCTCGGGCTCTGCTTTGTAAACGGTCTGGCCAGACGGCTTGATTACTACTCCTCGTACCACACAGCGTGCGTGTCCAGCACAAGCACCACAAGGCTGCTGCTGCTGAATCACAAGCGTTGGCATAGTTTCTGGGCATGAGCCTAAGACAGTAGGAGTTGTACAAAGCCCGAACGGCTAATGTCCTCGAGTCCCTGCAGATGAGTCAACGCACCGCGGCCACTATTGCAGCGAGAGGCAAAGTCCCCTACATGTCGTCGGCATCGGTCTGGTCTTCTCCCGCAATCTGTCGCTGCTTCAACCGTCAGTGGTCAGTGGTGAGCTTGTTAGTGATCTTACATAACCGTCCGCGGAGCCAGCAGGGACACGCACGTAGCCGACGCCTCGAACATCGCGTACGGGCGGAGTGGTGTCAATTCTTTTGGAATGGCTCGAATGGCTAAGCTTGTCTAGTCAGCATCCCCTACAGACGTCATGGTGCATGGTGGCTTCGAGCCTGCCTCTCAAGATCCAGAGAAGCAGACTGATCTGGATGCTGACGCTTGTGATTTGCAACCGGCACAATTGTTGGTTCGCTGCGAGGTCGACCGGATAGGAAACTGTATCTGTATTCGATTGCCTTCAAGAATGCCGCGCTGCAGCACGACGTCCGTGTAGCGGTTGTTGTTACATATTCCAACACCAATGAAACGCCATTTCGTCCACCAGCTCGATTCCGATTCAATGCTTGCTTTCCGTGGGCTCTGAACACAATGGGTATCACTTGAAATCTCTCGCCGGATCAACTCCACGCCGACTGTGCCTCTCCTAAGCCTAGTCCAGCAGTCGTCCACGTCGTGTGCATCGTTGCGTTGTCTTGATGCCCATCCTCACCGCTCGAACATGAACAACCGAATATCGTCTCGTGCTCATCGTGGCGCCGATTGCCACAGCGTGAAATACTTCGGCGTATCCTCCGTGTACAAATATGGCGGGATGAACCCATTTGGCAACGCTACCATTTCGACCTCCAACCTGACCGCCGCTTTCTTGAACACGGGCTGCAACTCCTTGCACTTCTCGACCATGAGCCGTTGCGCGAGCAAGACTTGGTTGATCTGCTCCGTTGTGTCACCATCGTCGGAAGTGCTCAATCTGGGTTCGTCGTCTTCGCGGTAGTACTCGTATGAGTAGATCAAGGTCTTGAGCAGGCGGACGCCGTGTCGGACTTTGTCGGTCGCGATGCAAGTATCGAACGGAAACCAGACGCGTCGTCTGGCGTGGAAGGGTGGTCGATCGCCAAGCGGGATCCCAAACACTTTGAGAGTCTCGAGATTTGGTGGCAATCTGCGCCACGTCGCGTGGTCGCACAAGGCCCGCACTCTGACCAGGTTGACCGTCCGCACATCGAGGTCAAGTTGCTTCATGGCATAGAATTTCGACAGGTTGAGATGCTGGCCTGGGTGATTGAAAGACTGATGAGAAGGCCTCGAGTACCCCAGACTCAGAGACAGGTGTTCGAGCGAGCCCGCACAGTGCTTGGCTATTGCCTCCACAAACGAACCCGGCGAGACATTCCCGTGCATGCGGCTACTTCTCGTGAACATGCCGTCGTAGCGGATCCCTTCACTGATTTTCAGCGACTTCAGTGCACGAGGAAAGCTGAGGAGAACAGCCAGGGAAGGTGAATAGATGTCACACTCTTCGAGGTGCAGGTGTTCCAGATCGGTCGACCCAACTAGCGTCTCGTCGTCCTGGAATTGAGTGAGCAACCGCTCCGGAAAGTCGGTGCTGGCGCAGGACATTGTCAGTGACTTCAGTCGCGGGTGCAGGAAGAGCATGGCGTATTTGGTCATCGAGTAGATCTCCTTTTGCGCGTCGACGAAGTGTAAGGTACCTGGAAGACGGTTAGGCAAGAAAGACAGCCGGGGATCGAACATACAGTGCTTGAGATGCGGCAACGCCCGGTCGGCATCATGGGGGACCACCGCCGAAGCCGCCTCGAAGATCCGCTCATACCGATCCTGCAGATTCACCCAAGGAACCCGCTCGTCGGGAAACTTGGTGTTGCAATCTGGGGTCTCGAGCCGCAGGATCTGCAGGTTCCGCATCAGAGCAAGATAAGGTGGTAGCGTGCTCAGGCCCTCATCATCGCCGAACTTGGTCGAGACAAGCAGAGACCGGATCCATGTGGCACGGCGGGGATTAGCATGTAGACTGGCGGACAAGGCGGAGGCTTGACTGCCGCTTGTGACCCGGATCGTGTGATACAGGAACGGTTCGGCGAGGTCGTCAAAGTGCTTGCAGACGTAGGTGATGTTGCACAACGTCCGGAAGCCGAAAAAGCTGAAGATGTTGATCAGGACCTCGTCCGGCAGGTGAAGCAGGAACAGGGCCGTCGGTGTTTGCGCGATCATCTTGGCCGTAAGATGCGTCAATGGCCGGCTGGTGGAGGTCAGAAAGCTGACATCGAGAGGGAGTGCGACGGCGTGTGGATGTCCTGTGGTCCTTACAGATATCTCTTTGGCTGGAGGTCAGAAGAATTGAGCAGTGAGATGTGAGAAGTGAGTCTGGGGTGATGAGCACCTGTTGGTGATGAAGCAGGGGAATCGAGCTGCCTTTCACACCAACTCGAAGCGGGTGACGATGTCATGGGCCTTGGGGCCACGCGTGGCTGATTCAGGGCAGTTGCAGTGAGGCCCGAAAGTCCAGCCTAGAGCTGAGGTGCGCCGCCACTGGCTGACTGGTTGGCGACCTCCGGTCGCGCCGCCCAACTGCCAGCCGCCAACCGCCAACTGCCCAACTGCACCCCAGGATTTCGCCGCCCAGGCACTTGTTTTAGTGAAGCGGCCGTCCGCCAAGCGAGTCTACAGTCGAGAATAGGCCGACAGACACCCTTTTGTGTCACAAACATCCGCAGATTTGAGGCACTTATATCTTCATCACGCTTCACACCGATCGTAAATTGGTATCTATGAGTACGTTGAAGAACTCCTACTGCGGAGCCACTCCAGGATGCCGCATTCAACCGTTTGCCCGGTTTTCGTCATTGTCTCATGTCATCGTCGGTGCTGACATTCGTCCTTGGCTTTTCCGAGATATCCTTGGTGTGCTCCCATCAAGTTCCGAGACTTGTACCATGAATCGAAATGTGGAGTCGAAGCAATAGACACGAGCACAGACAGCAGCGGAAGCCTTACCAGAGCCTCGTCACGACCCGACGGGCCTCGCTTGAGAGCCCTGAGCGTCTCGACCCAAAGCTAGCCATCTCCGGCCCTTTCCACACACGGCCGATGCAAAGCCCATGATCCCTTTGGACCCATCCATCCTTGTGTCTTGCACATCTTTTAAGCAGGCGCCTCATAACCTCTCCTGAACACCCGTCCAAACATGTCCACACCGACCCTCTCCCCCTTTGTCTCACTCTTGGCCTCATTCTCCGCATTCGCCGGGATATCGACTTGCTGCCCATTGACTCTCCAGCCGCACGCAGTCTGTGCGAACTTCGCCAACGCGTCTCCCCTCAGATCAAGCCACCCGCTCAATACACCCAGATCGATTTGTCTGAACGTCTTGCCCACTTCCCCTGCAATGCGTATCCTGATGAGGTCCTCAAACCCCACGACGTCGGCGTAGAGATCCGAGTACAGGTCATCAGACTCCAGCGTGGCCCAGAATGCATCGTACTGCGCGGACTCGAGGAGAGTGTTCAGGCGTGTGAGCTTTTGTATCGACTCTGTGAGGTCGGTGGTGGGGATGGATGTGTTACCGGGGCTGTACGGGATGGTGGAAGGTGGGAGGAGGGCGAGGCAGAGGGAGAAGGCAGGGGACGGGAACACCGTCAGTGCTTTGACGAGGATGCTGGTGACGGTGTCGGGATGAAGGAGTTGTGGGTTAAATTGGTATCTGTGTTTGCATCTAGTCAGTACGTCTCGTTCCTCTTGTGATCAGGCCTGAAATCGGTGCGTAAGACTGCTTGCGATATCTCAGATAGAGCTAATATTTCAATCTCCATGACTCCCGTAGGACAACGTCAGGTAATAGGAAACGTGGTATGAGAAATTCTCTTCATCATAATACCATCCAACTCGAACAAACACATTCCCAATGAGAGTGTCGGATTGCTCACAGTTTCAACAGCGCCATCGACGCGTATGCGTCGAAGAATTTCTCTTCGCATTGCTGGTTGACGTATTCTTGAAATGTGGTTGTCGTTTCTGGGTTGTACCGGTTGAGCCCGTTGAGGATTTCGTCAATGTGCGCTGGTCGCTCCGGGCATCTGTCAAAGGCATACCCCATCTTGGCCAGGTTCGTGACAAAGCCGTAGTCGTCGGATGGATATTTCGTTCAGAGGGCGATCGAGAATCCAGAAACCAGAAATTCGGTGCGCACTTTGGATCTCCGCAGTTTGTGCGGAGCGGAAGAACTTAATGCCGGACGAGATCATACAGTCACCACCGTATGCAGCACGCAGCACGCAGCACGCAGCACGCAGCACGCAGCACGCAGCACACCTTGGAGCCCCCAGAATGGTTTTGCTATGATGCCTGGATGTCGTGCGCTCCTAGCGAGTACAAATGAATATGTCACACGTCAAAACGCCCCAATCACGTGAATTTTTGTGTCCAAATCGCCAATACCTATCAAATATATGCACTCCAGGTTCTTCGTCGAGATATGACCCTCTTTTGACTCGGTTCTAGGTCACCAACCAGACAGCGCCTCCAATGACAACAGCAGCGGCCAGGAGCGTCAGTATCGCCGCACCAGCCTTGTCGCCCGTGGTGATGTTGTCCCTCAAGGCAGCTGGGTTTTCTGGTGCTTGGGATCCAGCATTCGGGTCGCCCTGCGAGGTCGCTCCTGTGTTGCTGGACTTGGGCGTCAAAATGTCCTTGTTTAGCGTTGAACCTATGACCGACAATGCAGCCATCTACAGGCAAGGTGTCAGGATCCATACCGAACCAAGTCGAGGGGGGAAATAAAGCATACCTGTTGTCCAACCCCGGTCGAACGATCCCACGTGGTCGTGTACCATTGCATACCGCACTGTCGGCCTGTTGAGCCTCCGTTGCATTGGCCCGCGGCTGCCTGTGCACTTGCTTGCAGTTTGGGAACGATCTGATCCGCCGTCTGCGGCACCAAAAGACTCGTTACCGCCAACCATCTCGCCAAATACGACTTGAAACTCTTCTGATCCTGGTCGCAAAGCATCTGCGACTCACACTGGAGTTCTGACATAATGTTGCCCCCATACTGGGCTGGGAAGAACAGAGAGAAAGTGCTGTTGAGGATCGTGTTGACTCGATCCAGCCAGATCTGGCTGCCATTCGTGTGATTGTACATGTAGGCAGCGCCGACCAGTAGGGTCCCGTAGTTGTAAGTCCAGACAAACCTTGTCTGATCAGTGCAATTGTTGTTCGTATCAGTGTTGTCCCAAATATAAAGCGTACCAGTTGACGGATCCGTCTGCATCAATACGCTGCTCTCCATCCAATCGTAGACCATGGTCGCCCAGTCGGCATAACTCTGGTTTCCGGTCACGTAGGCCAGTCGAGCGGCCAGTTGGAAATTGCCGCCGTTGGACACGGCGTTCTTGAGGTTGTAGCCGGCATTGAATGAGAAAACCTGCCAGCGGAAACCGCCTCCACAGGTATTGGTATCCCAGTAATTCCGTTGAAAGTTATAAACGGCCTGTGCCAGAGCCAGCCACGAAGGAGCATCCTCCTCCTCCGACTCGGGGAAGTTGGCTTCGACCGCATCCATTACCGAAAACGCCCAGAACGCTTGGTCATCGATACCCATGCTCTTGGACTGGTTCGGCGGGTTAAAATTGTTGTCAGGCCCTCGCTGGAATTGCAGGGCCTGGGACACCACGGGATTGTACGACGAGTCATTCGTGTACTGCCAGTAGTTGATGAGAGCACCAAACATGGCCCCCGCCTCCCACCAACAGTAGATGGCTGGGTTGTTGGGGTCACAGCTTAGGCCGCCAGGCAATAATCCAGGTACCTGGCCCGTCTGGTTGCCCGTGTACAAAGTCATCATGTCATAGGCAATGGTTGAGGTGGCCGACTTGACGCTATTTTCGTCACTGATATCGAGCGTTATGGCCAGTGCGCCAGGCACAAGAGCCAGAGGCAAGAGCCTCATGGTGAAGGGTATGTTCTAACGACGCGGCGCCAAAGTGGTTGCTGCTGATGGTCGTGGCGGCAAATTTCGCCGTACAACCCACGCCGACTTCCTTCTCGCCAATCGCTTTGCGCCCCGGATGGATGGTGTCGACGCTGTGCCCGCACACGCCGTGTATCGTGGTGAAAAGAATGGCGTTGTCTTTCGAGATTCTTGTATATGTCAATGGACAATGAACCGGAGAGCGAAGGACGGGAGGTGTGTCGCGATGGAGAGACGAGAGAGAGGAAAGACCGAGATGTGCCCCCTGACGACGTCTGAATCAAGAATCAAACGACTCCCCAGTTGCAGCGGCTGGCGCTGTCTCAGAGGTGCAGAAAGTTGGCCTCCACCCATCCTGTCAGCTCCACCAATGCCGCGCACCATAACCCGAGATTGCGTTTCGAGCACTGCCTCGTCAGCTTGAGCTATGTCATCACCGGCCCAATGGCACCGAGACTTACCGCCGCAGAGACGAGGCCGATCATCTGCGCGCCAACGCGGAGTCGTTTCGACGCGTATGGCCATGGTCTGCAAGGCAGAATGTGCTCCTCAATTAGCTTTTAGGTTGGCATTGTCGGGAGCTCTCACGGCGAAAGGCAATCCTTGCGCGCATGCATACCCAGGTAGTATTCATAGCCGGCAGCGCGACATGGGCAATGCGCCTGGGACTTCAGATACAAGTACCAAGCGAAAGCTTAGCACCTCTTGGTAAACGTGGCCGCCCGGAGGACCGCTTAAGCCTTACTTGGCCTTACTTAGATGCTTAACTGGCACTTCGAAACTCTGGGCGAGCTTAACGGGCCTCACTGGGCGTCCACTCCGTCGCAACCTGAACCTTACAGGTAGGACACATTCTTGACTCTCGTCGGGGCTCTATTGCAAACTTATCATGTCTTTCTGCTACCTGCTTTCCGCTGCGCCATGCTATCTGCTGCGCGTCTAACTATTTCCACCCAGGCAGCATTGTGAGTGAAGAACGAAGCAACTTCGTCATCTGACGGCCAACCAAGTTTCTGGCAGTGTTTCTCTGCTGCTCGGATAAGGCGTGGCTCATGCGGTAAAGGCGAGACAAAGCGTGCAGGGTCTTCTTCACCTACCAGAGGGTTTACTGGCCCTCCCAGGAAGAGCCGGACGGCGGAAAGTACGTCGCGCAGTGAATACCGCATGCCATCGTCGCCACGGGCTGCGGCGGCATGACAATCGGAATTTGACTCCCTCGGAATTGCTCCCAATACACCTGGATGCTCGCCGATCCATTTCACCAGAGCGACCAGTCCCTGCACATCATGAACAGACACCAATACCCGCACCATAAGCATGAGGTCGTCAACCTGGGGCACGACCAGAAGAGCCAGTTCGGGTGAAGGCAGAAAGGTCAAAGTGCGACCGTATAACGCCCGAACAAATGTCGTCCTCGCGAGTGCCCCAATGTCTTTGGGCTCTATTCGCGTGTTCACGTACCTCAACATCTGGTGCAGTATCTTCGCCTGAAGCCGGAAAGTGTCCAAATCGGCTTGAAGGCTGATGTACACTTTTTCAGGCCAGAGAATCAATTTGAGACGGCGCCACACAGCGTTTCTGAATGCCACGCCCTGAGCATTGAGATACTTCGCGACGCCAACAGATGCTCCATCGAGTAGCGCGTTCCACACGCTAATGTCGGTGATCCCTGCTGCCGCCAACAGCTGCGACGCGTATGTCATCGCAGGGACGTCGGAGTCGTCTCTGCAGATTAATTCTCGTCTGTTGGCGTCGAGGTAGCCGACAGCCCGAAAGACCAATGTATCTTCTGGCCCACTCCGGCAAAGAAGCGAAACGAAGGCAGCCAAGGCATGAAGCGGAAGCCTGTCGAGACTGTGGCGTATGACGGAGACAGGATACTTTTCAGCGTGTCGTAGGACGTCTTTGGTGACCTCGTCCCAACCGCTGTCTCGAATATAGGCGAAGCCAGCCTCAGCACTGGGACTTTGTTTCAGCAAACTGGCCATGAGATTACCGCCCGGTTTGATGCCAGCGCGTAACATGGCCTGGTAAAACTCGTCTACGGACGGAACATCGGCGTCAACATAGACCACTTCGCGAGGGTTGCCTGACACTTCAAAAGCTTCTTTGATATCGCCTGGCATGTATTTCCATGCTAGAGGGGATGTCGACGCAACGGTGGACGCAAGCAGCTTATCCAACATGGCGAAGTACGGCCGGTAATCCGGCCGAAGAGTTCCGATGGCCAGCTCATAAGAGCGAAAGGAGGCCCATGCCTCTCGGATTGTTCTTGTGGCTTGAATGCGTGCCGCCCACACCTCAGGTGCATCCGTGCATGCGGTCCTATCGCTGACCTGCTCTCCCTGCTGCAAGAGCCAGGGACGCCGCTGCCGCATCAGGATTGCCCGTGTTTGAATGGTCGGGCTACCATCTGTGTCCCAGCCGGCCAGAACAGCGGCGCTTCTCTCCCAGTCACCGAGCGTGTACCCGGCCTCTTGCATCCGTCGTAGCAATTTCATGACCCGGCTTTCTTTACCCGGGTATTCAAGGTCCCGTTCGATTCCCATGTTGATCTGCCGCCACGGAGGCCACGATAGGGATTTTGCTTGAGCCCATGTGCGCTCGTGCGCGGTCTTGCGATGCAGAAGCTGTACCGCGATCAGACCGCGGTAACCCTCTCGGGTTACTGGTATTTGTGGTTTGGAGGCAAACATCAGTCGAACTAGGGCCAGTTGTGCGTTCTGCTGAAAGAGATACGCGTTAAATGGTGTGCTCAAGGGCGCGAAGGATAGTAGCGACAAAAAGCGGTTGAATATGTGACACAGCCGTTGCAACTCGGATCTCTCAAGCTCTCGAGGATGAACAGTATAATAGTCGGCAAAGAGGTGCTTGATGATGAGGCTGATATCCTCGAATGAATCGGGTGCAACCCGCCGCGCATGCCGAAGAAGTCGAACTACCAAGCAGACTCGTGTAACCCAGTTCCAACCAAGGTATTCTTTCGCACTCGAACATAGTTCCAGGTCCTCCAATATACTCTGGATGAATGCCTTAAGAGATGGCGCGCTAACCTCTTCGGCACGTAGAAGTTGTAAAGGCACAAATTTGGGAATCCGCCCATGCCCAGACTTGCGCGTCTCCGCTGCCAGGGCGACATATCTAGAAAACGCCAGATCCATATTTTGCGAGGCAAACACCCATGCCCAACTCGCGACGGCAGTGACATCGTTGCCGACCTTTTTCAAGAGTTTCAGGGCGTCATCATGGAAAGTCGACTTGAGGGCGGCGAGGACTATTGCTTCGTCGGATCCTTCCCGAAGAAGAGGCTCAACGTTCTGGAGGTATTCGACTAGGAGACTGCGCAAGCCCGTGTCGTGCCTGAATGCGACGGTCGATGGCTCTGGTAGTGCTCCGCCATTGACAAGCCACGGAAGAGGATTAGTGGTGGAGAGATCGATCTTGTTGCGCCTGGCGTGCGAGGGCAGAAAGATGGCCAGCATTTGCTCGACCGTTTTGCCGAATCGAGATTGCTGTCCAGACCCTTCCTCAAATGAGCTGGGTAACTCTTCTCCATGGCTGGCATTGTGATCGCGGTTCATGCGGCATGTATCGATACTGCCCTCTGCATCCTTGTAACCCTCTGGGATACCATGGTGCTCTCGCCCAGTCTGCCTGATAAACTCGGAAAAGTCGGTAGGAAAGAGAGCCCTCTGCTGGGTTAGGAAGTCCGGCGCAGGGGGTATTGAAGGAGCAGGTGCCGCCGCACTCGGCTGGCTGGTATCATGTCGCCCTCTGTGTTTACATTGAAATACTCCCTTCACAGGTTTGGGGTATTGAAAGACTGGTTGAGGACCGTGGCTGACGGAGACGAGAGCGCGACGAACGCTGAGCATCCATTGACGCTTCAATGGAGAAGCTATCGAGCGTCGGTGGTGGTGGATGGGAGGCGGCAGACAGTAGAGTCCACGTTTTATCTCATTGAACCTCGAGATATACGAGTGGATACAAGTAGTGATCCGCTGAGTTTGCTTTCTATCGATCTATTGCATACGGAGTAACGCAGTCGGGACGAGGAATGAAAACTGAAGACTCTCGCGGAAGTTACGGAGACGCACTGTGCCACATAATGCAGGCCCAAAGCTTTATAGTCACGTGACTGAATCGACCAGTCTTGGCGCCTGTGGCTACCCATCGTTGATGCGTTGATGGTTGTAGCGAACTCCATGAGTTGTCCTGACACTGTATGCTGCAGGTTGGCTCCTTACTCGTCTTCATTGCTGTTCGACTCCAGGTCCCAAGCCGCGGCAGAATACAGTACCCGTAGCCTGCCATCGAGTCGTAGCGACAGGAATTCATTTGGAGTTTGCCCTCCCGAGGACGTTGAGGCCTAGCGGTAACAAACGACATACCCTCCGGTGCTCCAGCCTTGTGCCGGCTTAGGATCCTTTTTAGCCAAGTAAAGGATAGTGCACTTCAGCTTGACTGCTTTCTTAGAAGCCCATTTTACGCAGAGCATTGCTTAGATGGACTACAAAATTGGGGCGAGTCTGTGATCAGGTCAGCCTGCCACGACCACTGTCATGAGTCGTACTTGGAGCTTGCGATAGCAACAAAATCTCGGCGAGTGCATCAAAGGGAACCGGTTTCGTTAATAGACGATCAATGCCAGATTCCAAAGCTTCGTTCCTGGCCGCTGCGGACGCGAGGCCTGTCAAGGCAAATATCGGAACACGAGGTAGGGAGTTTTGGGATTCGTACTGTCGAATGAGGCGAGTCGCTGTCATACCATCCATCACGGGCATTGATATGTCTGACACCGCGGGTCAATTTCAATCGATGAGCAAATGAGAAGATCGGGGAGAACGCACCCATCAAAACACAACAAAATGAGGTTGGTGCTGCAATGTACGTATCCACGGCTTCTTGTCCGTTGACCGCCTGCTCGAACGGCAGACTCTTCCTCTCCACAAAGGTAGTGAGGAGCTGTTGAAAGGCGTCAGCACGTGTCATCTTGAGCCTTGAGAGGTGCCTACCCTGAGGTTAAGTGGATTGTCGTCGACACAAAGCACAGAGCTACGATCTTCCCTCACTACCTTTGCGTGCAATAGGTGCGGAATATCTCCTGATAGCGTACCGTCTTTGGGCGAATCGAATCGCGCGATTGAATCGGATGCTGCGTTCGCCCCTTGTGAGTAAGTTCGATAATGGGATCGCGAGTCTTCGGGAAAGGGGGGCTCCGGCGAGCTATTTTGGGTGTACACTTGCGCCTGGTCGAGGCAGTGAAGCAATGCCGCGGCGAGTTTACGGGGACCAAGCCTGCATTGGAGCGGTTAGCGTCGCTAAACAACACGTCTCTGAAGAGTGACTTACGGTTGGTAGGTAATCTCAACGAATGATTCTGAGCTTGTGACACGAGAATCGGCCCGTAGTACAGCCGATTCGAGGGCGTCATGCGCGATGAACAATACCGGAGGCGTCATACTCCCAGATAACGAGCGCACTGACTGGAGCTGTTGGAACGAGGGTTCCAAGCAGATAACCAAGTCCGCAGACTTCGCAGTCCATCTAGAAGCAGTCAAGACCTCTACACCGAACCATTCCCTAAGAGTTCGGATGAGACTTTGTGAGAAGTGCTCCTCAGCCCTCAACAAACTTTCCGTGTTCTTTTGGGAAGCTTTCGAATGGACGTCTTCAAGAACGCAGATCCGAAGACGTTTCAAGCGGTCGGCGACAGCGGCGATAAGGTCTGCTCTCGTGCCCTGCGCCGTCTTCACCTCAGCCTTCTTCAACGTTAGATGGACATCGAACGTTGATCCCAAGCCCCTCGCACTTGCAACCTCGATATGGCCGCCCATGGAGTTGACCACCTGATCCACGATACTGAGGCCAAGCCCAGTCCCAACAGCCATCGGATCCTCCTGTGAGAATGCTTTGAAGATACGGTTCTGCATGAATTCGTTGGACATCCCAATGCCAGTGTCCCGCACGGTTAGAAACAGAGCAGCACCACCCTTGAGCTTCTTCCCATCATCTAATTGTTGTTCTCCCGAACCAATTTCGGCGTCCTGAACACGTAACGAAATCCTAATAGAACCCTCGTCTGTGTACTTCAATGCATTGCCCACCAGATTCATGATAATCCTTCTCCACGCGCCTGGCTGCGTTTCAAAATGAGAATTGCCAGCAGGCAGATCCAGACATAGGCGAACACGGCCGCGGGTTGACTCGGTCCTGTGGCTATTTGACAGTTCTTGTGGCTTTGTGTTGAACTTTGGAATCTGGACTCCGACTCCTGCAATGGCATCTTCCGAATGGAGGAAATCATGCTGAACTGTGAATCCCAGTGCAACAGATTCCACCACTTCTTCAATGACCAAACTTATGTCGACAGATGACGTGAGACTTGACGCCGCCAATGCCTTCTTCCTTCGCGACTCCATAATCTGCTTCCTTGGTGATGCTGCTTTAGAAAGCTTGTCATTGTGAACTTGGGAAAAGTTGTTGATTTTGGCAAAATCCATGACGTGTTCTAGGGAATCCAGAAGAGTACGCCCACAACTTGTGATGGTGTCCACCATTTCGCGCTGGAAGCGTCCCATGCTGCTGTCATACAAGAAATTGGTAGCTCCAAGGATGCCATGGAGTGGTGACCGTAGCTCATGCGATACCGAGGACACGAAGGAATCCTTTGCTCGACTTTCATCGAGAGAGTCAAGATGCGCCAGGGCATTTGTAATGCTGTTGCTAAACACCTGTAGAAATTTCAAGTCTTGGTCAGTCGCAAGATCCCGATCCGGCTTCAAAAGCCAACAAACGTTGAACGCGAACCATCGCTTTCGATTATAGTCCCACAAAGGAAGACAGACGAAGGCCCTGGCACTGGGTTCGATCTTCAGCAAAGCCTTGACTTGGGCGGCTCTGCGTCTCTTGTGCCGGTCATCAGGTTGTGGAGTGGTGGCACCCGTCGTGGTATTTTGAACGGGCTTTCGGTTGTCTGCCCCCGAACCCGAACTTGAAGTGTCGCCTGGTAAGGCTGTACTGAGGCTGTCCAGCAGATATACTCGTCCGCGGGGTCTACGCCCCATAAGCCTCTGCATATCACGAACCAGGAACCGAGGGAACTGTTGCTGGTTTCGGATTCGAACTTCTTCCGTGGCTTGGGTAACGGAGAAGGCCAATATAGGGCAGACTGCATCTGAGCCAGTCTCATCACCGCTGGAGGGCTCCTGGTCGGGCTGAGACTCGATAGCATCGGGTGAGTCTTCTGTTGCGCTCGAGGATGGCGAACTGCCTGTCATAGGAGAATGGCGTTTCTCAGCCCGCACAGGGTCGTCCATTCGTTCCTGGCGTGGTCTAGACTTACGGGAAGATTCAACAGAGGGAATGTAGAAAAAGGCACTACCATCGTAGCCGCCAGCAGCCCGGATTATATTTGCTGCCCGACTGAACATGGACTTACAACCAGACGGAAGGGCCGCCTCCCACCATGTCGAGTACCTTGTCGGGTCGACATCACTTCCCTGACTCAATTGCGGAGCTGCGGTGTCGCTGTTTGCATGACGCATATCGGCAGCTTCGGTCCATTGGCTCGTTAGTCCGGATAGACCGCTCACAAACGCTTGCAACCCTTCAATAAGTCTATCTCTTCGCTGGTGTTCTGACCTGATTTTGACAGCATCAAGGTGGCTCATGACAGTTTTGGCGGTGTTGCAGAGGAATACTTGTTCTTCTCTTGGAAAATCCTGCCTAGAGCGGTTGTCGAAAATGCAAACAGCGCCCAGTTTTGTGCCGTCAGGCGACCGGATAGGAGCACCCGCATACCAGCGCATCTGAGGACCATCCACCACGAACGGGCGGTTGAAGAATCTCGCATCTTCCCTCAAGTCGTTGATGACTACCATGTCCGGATCGACATCTTGGTCTTGCTCTGCATACAATGCTGATTCGGCGGAGTTGGGCAGGACTAACGAGCACAATCCCGTCTCTCTAGGCAAGACCACACTACCGATCCAGAGTGCGTTGTTATTCTTGGCTGCGAAGCCCACCTGGGCTGCCGACTTCGCAGCTTCTGCTAAAACATACTGTTGACTTGAGTCGATGAGAGATATCAAAGCGTGGGTGGCATTGAGACGAAGGAGAAGCAATTCAGCAAAAGCATTCAGGGCGGTATCGGTGGAGGGTTTCGGAACGAAATTGACAGCGCGACGGGTGTTCGGTTCTGTAATGTCGAGGCCCGGGTTTGGTCGCGCAAGATCCGTGGTGGTGGAGAAATACCTGCAGGCCAGTGACGCTGTTAGAGAAAGACTGGGCTCGTGATGCCAAGGGAGCAGATAAATCACCTCGAGACCAAGCGCTCCCTGAATTGTTCAGACGCCTTGGGGCTGCCTGTGCCGAATGACATGAGTCCCAAGGGCAATCACCTGGGCAGACCCTTCTAACAATCCCTCAGGCTGCGAATACCGGGCAGAATTAGAAGAAAACAGGGCAAGCAAGGGTGAGTCAAATGAGAGCGAAGTGGCAAGCAGAAGCAGAAGCACATCTGGTCTGGAGTTGAACAAATGTGGACGGCATTGACAGCAGCAACCACTGGACCTCGAGGCACTTGCACGGGTGGAGAAGGCGAATGCCGCGCAAGGGAAGTCGGTTGGTTGCGATCCCAATGTGCCTCTCACGCATGTCTTGGACTTTGAGTGCTTTCGGCCCTTGCGCTCACACAGCGGGCGTAGGCCGATCCATCCTACTGTGGAAAGAAAAAGTGGGAGGCAAATGCGCAGCGTTGCATGAGATCTGTATGTTGGAGGGGGATCTCAGTTGTGAGTCTCAAGAAACCAGGCAGCGAGGGCTGGGAATCGGGCGGTGATCATGTGCAACGGGTCCCACGTCTTCTACTTCGCCGTAGGCTTAGTTGTTGTGCGGCGGAGCAGGAGGCTCCGTGACCTTCACGAGAATCGCATCGCATCGCATCTCCTCAACATCCAAATACTGGTCGCGATCAAACCGTCGACCGTCAGACGAAATTCACTTCTCGCGACATAACACTGCCGCGCCCTGTTTCTTTCACGAACTCGAGGATCTCGTCCACTCATTCATCGGTCAATATTCTTCACAGGCCATTGGGGGTAAACTCAGGGTTCGGAGGCGATCTGACTTTATCCCTTTAGTATCTCTTGGTTGTCCTGGCTTGATCATTTCACTGCAGCATCCCGCGAACAGGCCGCAATACTACGCGTTCTGCGCGAGTGTGTCGGTTGAGGGCATGTTTGGGGTATTTACACAGATGCCCTTGGCTTAGCCCGCTCCGCACCCTGCTCTCTCGGCGGACTTCACCAAACGGCGTCTGAAGGATACGAAAAATATCACCATGGCCGAAGTCAACGGTGTCTCGAAGCACGAAGAGTCTGTAACGGCCTCGCTCTCGCATCTGGGCAAGCGGAAGCGCACGGTTTCTCCACAATTTGAAGAAGTCAAGGATGCTGCACTGCAACCTACGCTCCAACGTGTTCTGCAACTCCTCCGCAAGTGCGTCTCGCATCGCGTTTCCGATGGTCGTCGCCCAGCTAACTTGAGCAAACTAGACACGATACTACTCCGTCGCTTCTTAAGTACCCTTTACCTCCATCCAGGTCCGACGTGCCTGGCTTGAAGCGGGCGCGCCTCGTCAAGTCAGAATCCGCCTACGGTACTATCGAGGATCGCATTTTGACTGGGACATACAACTCTTTACACGCTCTTAAGGACGATGTGAAAAATGTTCATGACGCGATCCTGAGTGATGCGTCCACCGCGACACAGAACGGCACAACAGAAACCGATGTGCAGGGCCAGTTGTCTACATTGATGAAGGTACTGGAGCAACATGATCTAGAATCACCTGGAGTCTCGGAATCAAAGGGCGAAGCAACTCTGAATGCGGACCGAGTAAAACAGAAACCAAAGCAGTTCCTCTCTCTCCGAAGCAATGTCCATGGCGTTGCACATGTGCTATTTTCAGGGCTCCAGGTCCAACAAGATTTTGACAAGGTGGAACCCGATGCCTTACCAGAAGCAGTTGGCACAAGCCTGCCGAACGGGTTTGAACTCACCGATTATACTGCCTTGGGTGGAAACGAAGAAGCGCTTAAAAAGCAGGAGAAACGGACATTCGAGAAAGTCTTCGCCACAATCCGTCGTCTCAAACCCTTAGACCTTCCACACACGGCTAAGGATGTGGTCAGAGGCAATACTCTCGATTTCATCCCAAACTCCAGTCGAGCGGAGAACCTTCCTCTAAACAAGCACGACTATAAGTTCGCCAAACTACCGACTGGTTCGTACCTTTCTTACCGTCCTTCACACCACGACCGGAAAAGGGTACAGCCATCCTCCAATAGCGCGGACTTCAAAGCGGCTCTTGCGTCGAATACCGTGCGCCAAGGCAAGGAAATGAGCGAGGACGAGTTGTTCAGCTCCGTCTATTCTTCATTTGCGCCGAGCTCAGACAATTCATATTCCCTGATTTCCCACGAGGATCTGAGTCGACAATGGTGGAGCCAGAACGGCGAGCATAGGCTCTCCAGACTTTTCAGACCGACAGACCAAGAGTTATCTCCTTCAGATGGAGAAGCTGAAGGGAGGGACGAGTTCGCTGATGTAGTTGCCAATTTCGAGCCACAAGAACCAGAAGAAGTCCAAGCGGACGGCGCGGAAAAGGAGGTCGACAGCTTGTTGGAAGAGGTGTCGGAGATGATCGAGACACTGAGCTCCTATCAGAGAAATCGAAGCTTGGATCACCTTGTGGCCGGCAGACCAGGAAAGCCTGAGACACCCGAGTACGATACCTTTGAGATGCTCAGAAACCAGCTGAGCGTATTGGTTGCGTCCCTACCTCCCTTTGCTGTTGCGAAACTCAATGGTGATCAACTCGACGATCTCAACATCTCCACGAGACTAGTCGTCGAGGTCCCAGACTATCCCGGCACCGGACAGCCGGACGATTACATTCTGCGGCGTCAGAAGTTGGCCCAGCAAGCCACGCAAGCGGTGACTCGCTCGACCGTAACACCCCAGCCAGTCCGACCGAGCTACTCCTCCGTGCAGCCCAATACGATATCCTACAACCCTGGAGTAAGGAATTATGGCACCTCTGTCCCCGCAACAGCGGCATTCGGCATGCGCACAACCCAGTCACATCAGACTCCCACTGCTTCTCGGTCAACATACCCTCAAACATCCAGTTTCCCGGTCAACACCGCAAACAGCTATTCATCAAATCGTCCCACCATTCAGCAATTCCAGCGTCCTGCCGTACAAAACGGCTATAGTGGTTACGGGGGCAATACCCCGCTGCAGCCGTCACAGCAACAGTCACGACCGCAGACCCCGGCAGGGGGATATTCTCAACGACCGACTCAGCCGGGGTATCAACAGCGGGCACAGGAAACCGCTGCGGTGCTGGCAAGGTCTGCTAGTCCGCAGAAACCGCAACCACTAGTCAACGGCGCGGCGCAGCATTACACACCGAGACAGCATCAATCTCAGACTTTGACTCAGCAGGGCCCGAGCCAGCAAAGTCCACAAACGGGGTCATTTGCTTATCAAAGACAAGGCAGTGGGACGCCGACCACACCCATTGCACCTGGAACGGTGGCGGCGCGGTATGATGGTGGTGGAGACCGAACCACGGGTGCACAGTCGGGCAGGAGTGCTCAGGCTACACCAATCTCATTAGCACACCCGCCACAGCAGAATCAACCCGTGGAGGTCTCGAGGTGAAGGAGGCACGGCAGGAGACATGGAAAACGTAAAGGTGCAAATTAAAAGTCGGTTTCTTGTGTCGTGTACCAGTATGGCTTTAGGGATTTATTCTTTTATTCACGGGTGATATGTGGTCCCCGGCAGTCTCATCAGGAGAGACGTTCAGACGCACAACGAAGCAATGAACGCTTTGGCTGGTGATGCAACGGAGCAGAACAGAACAGGAGGATTAGGCGATTGTAATCGAGAGTGCTTTACTTTCCGTCGTGGCGGCTATGTTTGGCCTGTGGTCGCTAGCTTGCTCTACCCAATTGTGCATCCATATCGCGCAGCGCTCCACGGAATAGATAATGACAAGGCACAATTATTTATATCCGTGGGATGTCTGTCAGTGAGCTTGCAGAGGCGAGGGTACAGCAAGCAGGGGATATCATGACGGCACTTGTGGCTTGGATTCTGGACATTCTTTGGATGGATGTTGCTGGGCACGAGACCGATCGTGGCAGGATGGCCGTCTGGAGTCCACTAGGGAAAGGAAAGGATGATCATCTTTCAATCGCGAATGGAATCCGTCTCGACAGATGGGCCATTCACGATTTGCGTGATCCTGGACTGCTACAAGCTACTTGACGCCAGGAAGGGTACGAGCACCGTTCCGAGACCCGAGCTTTCTTCGCCCGTGTCTCGATGATGCTCATGGCAAAGCGCAAAAGACATCCTTGACCGGTTTGTTGCTGAAGCGGAATCCTTGCACAAGAGACGAGTGGTCCGATTATTATGCATTGTGGGCGGTTCTGCACCCTCCATGCAGGATGTAATCCACCCACGTCTTGCCCAGCCACGAGGCATGATGTCGTCCAAGGCCGGGCGTAAGTAATCAGGGAATTGACATGAACACATGTTTGCCTTTCTGGTCTTGTGGTGTATATGTACGGGGCGCACCTGAGAATGTTCTCACGATCCCAGTCCTATTTGTGGTCTCTAACAGCCTTAAACTTTCATTCCTCGGCCTGTTGTTGCCTTCCGCCTCACTCTGTGTCGCCCCATCTGACCGTCGTGCAAGGCAACGAGCTCTCTGTCTCGCTGTTGCGGCCCTCGCTGAATATATATATATATACACATCACCTGGCACAGATCGTCATTCGCTGTTCTACACAAGTAGCACTCAACCAGATCTTTGAACAATCTCCGGCGGGCCTACAAACATATCGGTATCCTGCACACCATCTCAGACCCAATCTCACCAACCATGTGTTTCGGAGGTGGCGACAGAGACGAGGCGGTGGTCATCAGAAGACGCGAACGCCCACGGTCACGAACGCGGTACAGCCGAGAGTATGTCTCTCGACCCGAAGTAGCTACGTTCCGACGAGAGACGGTGACAAGGCGGTCAACCTCTGCTCATCGTCCGAGTTACGACCGGTACTCCGAACGCCATTCTGACCATTTGCACGTCGACCCACGGCGACGCAGCGGGAGCAGGACACGCATTGTAACCGAAGAGAGAAGGAGCCGTAACCATTATTGACGCCCATGAAGGGCCAACAGTGACATGAGAGGAATGATGAGAATCGCAGTTTGAAGCACTCTGGCCATATTCGAGGACTTTCTATGTACAATTTCACAAGCTTTCAGATGTAATTAGGGACAGATTTCTGTGCAACAACGTTGGGGCTGCCTCTGCTCCTCGTGTTCGATCTACAAGATCCCGTCATGTACCTATCCAGTTGCCAGTCTCGATGTGTGGGACAAAGCAGGTTGCCAGCTGTGACAGCTCGCAGCGCGTGGGGAAGCAAGCTCGCGTTGCGACGCACTAGAATCACGAATCACCCCGCCTGATCCACACACGTCATCGTCTTTTGTGTCGCTGTGTGCAGTTGATGATGCATTCCCGGATTCCTCAATTCGGCTTCGAGATCGAGGGGTCGTTCTGGGCTTTGGCGTGTGCACCCTCACATCCAGTTTTCGCAGCCACGCGGCAACTTGCTTCCTCCTTCATCGCGCATACATAAAGCTTGTAGAAGCTCAACCTCGCCTCGTACCGTATCCTCGAAGGCACGTATACGTGAAGGCCCCCGCAGAACTACTCGACGACCTCTAGCTCTCCACAGCCATGAATCGAGCCTTATCCATTCGATCCCGCAAGAAGGATGACCACGCCAAAGAAGCCTCTAGGCACACCTTCTCGATCTCCACCCTGCGCGGTATTCAGCAAGCCGAGCTCTCCAAGAAGCTCTACAAGCTGATCAAGACCGAGAATCATGCCATCGGAGCCTACGAGACCGCGGGGCGCGAGCGCCTTTCCATCGCCTCTCAGCTGTCCGACTGGGGCGAGTCCACGAACGACGATTCGATCTCGGACATCTCGGACAAGATTGGTGTCATTCTCTCCGAGATTGGCGAACAGGAGGACCTTTTCGCGCAGAACCTGGAGGATTACAGAGCCATCTTGAAGCAGATCAGAAACATAGAATCCAGCGTGCAACCGAGCAGGGACCAGAAGACCAAGATCAGCGATGAGATTCAAAGGCTCAAGTACAAGGAGCCGTCCAGCCCGAAGCTGGTCACACTGGAGCAGGAACTCGTGCGCGCTGAGGCGCAAAACTTGGTCGCAGAAGCTCAACTCACCAATATCGTACGTCCCTCCCTCTCCACCCGGCAAGCAAAGTACCCTGGAGGAATGCTAACAAGAACAATGTAGACGCGCCAGAAGATCAAGGAAGCGTACGATATCCACTTCGCTGCGACCATCGAGCGAGCAGAGAAGCAGATTATTCTCGCCAAGTATGGCCGCCGTCTGCTGAACTTGCTTGACGACACCCCTGTCGTGCCGGGAGACGTGCGCCAGCCCTTTGCCCAGGCCAGTGAGGCGAGGCAGATTCTGGCCGATGCAGAACAGGAGCTGCAACGGTGGGAACCACACCTCGAGCCTATCCATTCGAATGCAGGCGGATTGGGATCGAATTTGATGCCCGCGGACGATCGCAGCACGCGAGAGACTTCCGAGGTCCCCGAAGTAGTACCCCTTCCGGTCGAGTCGACCCCAAAGCCGGCAGCGGAGGCACAAGGAACTCATCTGGAGCAGGCGACCGCTTAGAAGGCAGGCCGGTATAGTGAGGAAGAAACACTTGTCACCACTACACGCGGCCCGCGCACACCTGCACAGCGCTCGAGTGCCTCGTTCTCGGACAGGGAGAGAGAGAGGATGAGCATCAGGAAGTAGGCTGGGTGGGATGAATGACGCTAGAGTGCCCTAGTATTGTTCCTGGTGCTGGTCGCATGGACGATGTTCAATGATGTTCTGGTCTTTGGCAGTGGGGTAAAGAGGTCAAGTAATAACGGAGTAGTAGTACTGTTTCCGGCAGCAACTCCAGGATGTCACGAGTACGATATGCATCTGCCTCTTCTGTCCTCCGCCTCCGTGTTGGTCCCCAGGATGCATCGCAGACGGAGTGCCTTCCCATTCGCGCAGCAACACCGTCCAGAGATCAGCCTTGAGCATATCGGAGCTTCCCAAAATGAAGGGCGACGGTCGCAAAGGGAAAAGTCCGGGATAAGACGCGCGCATTTCCACCGGGGTCTGTCGATCGGAACTTGATCCTGCTCGGCGGCGCCGCAGACAGAAGGATGAGCATGCCAGCTCGTTCTTCATTGGCAAAGCCGCCGTAAGCGACCTCGAGGCGCCGCCCTCGGTTCGATCTTGCGTCCCCCAAGGCGCTGACATGATTTGCTCCCGCCATGCCACCGTTTCATTTCCCTTCTCTCCTCGTCACTGCAATATCGCTCTCTGCTGCGTCAAGCCGGCGGAGGCGTGTCAGCCACGAGCAGGCGAGGCCCCGCGCATGCTTCCAGAACAAATCACCATGACGCGAACCTTTAGCGGCTGTCTGGACTCGGTTGATCGGGGCCGATAACAAAACATGTGAACGTCCTGTTCCCAAGCGTGAATGCCTGATCAGACTCGCCTCTGGTGAAGGACGGACCCTTCGCTTCGAAGAGAAATTACTCCGCGCGCTTCGTGAACGTCCCCTTGCCCGCTGCAACGCGGGCTTCACTGCTGTATCGCCACCGCAGGACCATGCCACTGGCACCGTGGGGATCTTGCAGACGGATCCTGAACTGACCGGTGCTCTCATTTGCAGACCTGTGCTGGCTCATCCACACCTTTGAGATCCTTCGTTAACCATTCCATATCGATACACCTCAAACCGGCCCCGCCTCGCATTTGTATTGACCCATAACTTGTCTTCCATTCTTCTCTCCTCCGCGCTCGTCCCTTTCCCTTCTCTCCAGAGCGGCGTCCTGAAGTCTCCCGAGAACCGCACATCCACGCCCAACATGTGGTCGATAATACTGCTCGGTATATGCGCATACCTGCTGTACTTCGTGTCCAGCGCTTTCCTGGGCTTCCGCCGCGGTTTGAGCAAAGCAAAACAGTCGGGAATTCCCTACGTCGTCGTCCCAGTCTACTATCTTAAAACCTGGTGGTTGGTAACCCATCCACTATGGCTGCCGCTGTTGGCCAAATTGCCACGCAAGTGGACTCAATGGGTCGACTTCTGCATCCCGGACTTCTACTTCCGCCGCAGCATCGAGGTCTTCCAGCAGGTCGGCTCAGATACGTTTCTCGTTGTGGCGCCGGGAGGCACGGTGATGCACACGGCCGACCCGGCTGTCATCACCCAGATCACTACTCGAAGAAACGATTTCCCCAAGCCCATACCCATCTACCGATCCTTGGACATCTACGGGAAGAACGTCGTTTCCACTGAGGGTCCCATCTGGCGTCAGCATCGTAAAGCCACCAGTCCGCCATTCACCGAGAAGAACAACCACCTCGTGTGGACAGAGAGCCTCGATCAAGCTTCTGCTATGCTGAGCTCGTGGGTTGGACCGGACGGAAAAGGCGATGTCACGGTCGACCGTGTCATGGATGATACCATGCGTCTGAGCTTGTATGTGATCAGCAGGGCAGGCTTCGGGAAGAAATTGCAGTGGCCATCTGCTGATGCCAAAGCCGATGTTGACGCCAACTATGTCGACAAGTCCAAGATTCATAATGAAGAAAGTGACAGGGATCGAGGCCATTCGATGAGCTACACGTATGCTATCCACTGCTTGCTGGACAACATCCTGTTCCAATTCCTGGTGCCTCGCTGGCTGCTCAGGCACTTCCCGAGCGCCAGCTTCCGCAAGGCTGACGAAGCGTACAATGAATGGGGAAATTACATGAGAGAAGCGGTGGCGTCCAAGAAGAAAGATCTTGAGGCATCGGCAGACGAGAGCAAAGACCAGATGGATCTCTTGGCCCAGCTGGTCAAAGGCCAGGTCGCGTCGGAGGAAAACAAAGGAAACAGCAAGGATGTGCCTCTTACGGATTCAGAGGTGCTCGGTAATATGTTCGTCCTCATCCTGGCAGGCCATGAGACGGCGGCAAACTCGATACATTTCTCTCTCCTTTACCTCGCGCTTTACCCCAAGAGCCAACGAGCAACGCAGAAGGACCTAGACCGAATATTCCAGGGCAAGCCGCCTTCAGAGTGGGACTACGACCGTGATCTGCCAGCCCTGTTCGGAGGCATGGTAGGAGCCGTGTTGGCCGAAGAACTGCGCCTGGTGCCCCCTGTCATAGGTATACCAAAGTCGACCTGGGGCGTCCCGGACCAACCCATTACTATTGGGGGCAAAGCCTGCACAGTACCCGCCGGCGTCTATATTAGCCTTGCATCAGGGAACGTTCATCGGAATCCCAAATATTGGCCGACATCCAAGCCGTCCCTGCCTGGAGGGCACACGGTGCATCCGATAGCCAACCTTGATAACGACCTTGAGGAATTTCATCCCGAGCGGTGGCTCCTAGATGACACCGAGGGGGCTCTACAGACGGAGACGGCAAACGGAAAGAAGGAAATGCCAAACGAAACCGTGACCGCGGACGACCTTGCAATCAACGAGGCAGCTGACACCTCCGACAAGTTCTATCGGCCACCCAAGGGGGCTTATATTCCATTCAGTGACGGCTACCGTGCGTGCCTCGGCAGACGCTTTGCACAAGTGGAAGTCCTCGCTACGTTAGCTGTGATCCTGCAAAATTATTCAGTCGAATTAGCAGTCGATCAGTGGGCAACCGACGAAGAGGTCATTGCGATGGACGAAGACGCCCGTGTGGAAATGTGGGAGAAGGCGGCCGAACGGGCGAGGAAGCTGATGCTGACTGGCCTCAGCGTCATCATATCTTTGCAAATGAGAGCTGGACATGTTGCTCTTCGATTCGTGCCCCGGGGCCAGGAGAAGTTTCCCGACGACGCAGATGAAAAGTGGAAAGCGAAGCATCCCGAATTGTGCGAAGGCATCCGAGGGACTCCTGGCTGGAGATTCTGGGCTTGACAATTGGCTGTGTCGCCTGTCAATGATGCATTTGGCGGGCTTTGTTTAGCTCCTGTTAGCGAGCATTGGTTAGATGTACATCCTCCAACAGTCTATTTCTGCCTGGTCGGCCACTGCCTTGATGGGTCAAAGGTAGTCCGCCGACTCACAGGAAGTACGCTGCATAGCACATCGCTCGAGTGTCAGAAGATGCGGCACTCACGTCGAGCCCGCTCCCTTCATATATATTCTACGCCCTTTGTTCGTTTGAGAGGGGTACATTCACACCGCCTGAGCTTGCAATGACGATGAAGCGGCTACGGTGCTTAGCTCGAGGCCGTCAGCCTCTGCTAGGGGTGGTGGTGGCTGCATGTGCCTTGCCTAAGCGGCTTCGCTGGCTCAATGGGAGTCGCCAAAAGTTCCACGTCAAATGCACAAACGCAGCGCTCTTCTCTCCCTGATTCGTCTTACCCGTCATCAGCATTGAACTTTCTACAGCAAGCGAATCGCCTGTCGACATACTGTATGTCTGGTTGAAGAATAGCATGACCAGGCCTCGTCTCAGTCCGCCAGGTGCATTAAAACCAGCCTTCAATCTTGTGCACTGTGTCGGTCAATTGCTTCCGCTGCGCAGTTAGACGGTCACCAATTGGCCCAGGCCAGAGCTTACTGGAACTCGATACCAGATCCGATATCCCCACGGCCTACATTGTGCGGGTCTGACGCTCTCGTGCATGTCCCAGTCCTCCAATGCCAGGAGCCCCTGATCGCTCGTTGCCCGTTACCAGCGACCGGCGGTGGCAATTGGGGCATGCAGCTTGCTGTTCGCTGGCAATCACCCGTTCACGCAGACGTTGGGCAGAAATCTCATGATCGTGCAATCCAGATTCGCCCAGATAAAAACCGAAGGCCTGCTCTGACAGGTGAGTTTGTCCCTCCGCGGTCCCCCTTAAGGCTCAGGAGATCGTTCCCCTTCAACCACAGTCCGCCCCTTCCTGTCCTCTTGTATCACTCAGGAGAAGGGAGAGGTTACCCTTGCACACGAACACGTCCCTCGACTTGGCCAGAGCTGTGCTGTTACATGTTTGTGCCCCTCTGCTCGAACCTGTCACCTCGTGCCTGGTTGGCCGTGCCGGCGGCAAGGGATGACTCTGATACACTCATGACAACCAATATCCTGTGTCTTGCGTCTATGACATTGCCTCTCGTTGACGCACCAAGCTTCCCTCTGTCGAGCGATGGACCGTCTCACTACTGGTTCCATAGTCACTGCCATCACTGGATGCTCTCGAGCGTTGCTGTTGCTCCGTCCATGAGCCTTGCTGTTCCTATGAGTGGGCCCATCAGCCAACTTAGATTCCCAAACTCTGTATGTTCGTCTCGGTGCGCGACCGCCCACAAGGTCGTCGGCGTCGCAGCCAGACCTACGGTGTCAACAAGGCTGCTCGTTCCTCCAAGTTGTCCCTGCTCTCCGCCATCACTACGGGGTCCCATCAGTCCCATGGGTCTAACGATAGCTCGTCAACGATCACGCAAGAGTCCTACTCAAAGTCCTCCTCGAGTGCAACTAAGCGGAGCAAGTCGTCGAGGACAAAGTCGTCCCGGGACGCCCGCGATCGGAAACCATCCTCGAGGAAGGGGAGTTCGGGGCAGACGATCGAGGAGAAGAGTATGTCCAGAGAATCCGTGGACGTTTTCGAGTTTCTTGTAAAAGAAGACGAACAAGATGCCCTCGGGCCGGACCTGAAAGAGCCTCCACATGCAGAGCTACAGACTGTCGAGACAACCCCCTCGGTGAGGGACGACTCTGACACTGAAAGCGTGGTACGGAGCACGCATTCAGACTCGGGCATATCGATGGGGGACAGCATCATTCACTTCGGCAATGACTCCCCAGTCGAGACTCGTTTGCCTCCGTTGCCAGAGGATGGCCGAGAACAGCCAGAGCCCGTCGAACCGCAACGAGACCAGCCTAATCACTCCAAGCGTATCCAGTGGAAGTGGCCCGAGGTACCGCGTGCGACTCACAAGCATCACTTGCCGAGCTACGCTGCAAGGACACACAGTCCAGAACACGCCCGCTTCCGCATCCCTCAGTCGCCTGATATCTTCGAGGGAGGCTTCTGTTCCCCGGCTCACCCGCTGTCTGGGTATGATCTGGTCTCGGATAAGCTGGCTTCAGGGGAGCTCCCACCGGTGTTTCGGAGTTTCAAGAAGATCAGATACCGGCTGCTGTTGCAGTTACAAGATGAGATACTCGAGATGGAGCAGCAACTAGCTGCCTTGGATGTCGCCGACACCCAAACCCGTCTCAACCCGGATGGTAGCACATCGCCGGCATCTAGGAGGCTCAGCTGGCAGTGGAGTCAATCTGACTTGCCAGCACATCGTTTACACATCTTGGGACGCCTGTCAATCAAACTCGAGCAATACTGTGAGTCCGAGTACTGCCAGGGAGACATCTGAGAGGCTAACTGTTGCTAGATCAGGTTCTATCCACGTCCCAAAAGGTGCACAGGCTGACCTCGTCACCACTGTCTGCTGAAGTTGGCCATTTCCGGGCGTGGCTGAAAGAGCACAACCCTTTAGCACATCTCGAGTCTCGCTTCTTGGATGATGACGAAGACCTCATATCGCTGACCGAACCGAGCGATTCTTCAGGCAGCCCCGCCGCTGAGCCGACATCTGATTTTCTTCCTCTTTGTGTTCTCACAATGACGCTTCTGCCACTGCTGTCCTTCAAATTCATGACGAGCGTCTTGAACAGGTTGATCGTCCTCACGATCGTGCTGGCTGCCGGGTTAGGTAGTCTAGAGAAGCTGGACAGGGCCAGAGCTGAACAGCATAAGCAATGGATTTTCGCATGTTTCGGAGTTTCGCTTCTGGCCGCGATACTGTTTTAGAAAGAAGTTTGGGAGGTGGGCGGCAACGCTCTTGACTGTGATTTTGGGGACAAGGATACACGGCATAATACTCAGCTTGGGACCATGGCATGTCCGGCCGGAGCACAATGTATTTTAGGAGACGAGATGAGTAATGACGACCATGATGATGACTGCCTCTGCTGGGTGACTGCGCCCGTTGTAGAGCCTCGTCGAAGCGGGGCGCAGCCTTGCGGCTCTCGTGACGTCTTTGGGGAACGACGCAACGCTCGTCTTCTCCAACTCAACGCGCTGGCAAACACCGACCTGACGCTGTAGTGTCAACCGCTGCTCTTTGTGCTGTTCCCCAGAAGTCTGCGAGCCTAAGTCTGCTGAGGCCGACAAGACGTGCTTGGAATAATCTCGTCTGCAGACATCATCTGCACCCCTTCACACTCCACCTTGGGCCCCTTGCCTGTCGCGAGGAACTGTCATGTGCCTGCGCATGACCATAGCAGGCACAAACTCGCCGAGCTGACCATGTCTTGATTCTCATCCCGCGCCTGTGGCTCATCAGATTCGCCCACGATGGCTTCCAACTTCATGTCTCGCCTCATGAGCTCCAACAACCCCTCCGCCTCCATCTATGAAACGCTTCGGGAACAAGACGAGGACTCGGAGGGCTTGGACGTTGAGGAGACAGCAGCCATGGCTACAGACGGCGGCAATCGAAGGGACAGCTTCGCCGACCGAGCCTCGATCGACTTCGGAGCGCAGCGTCATCGAAGGGACGTGCCACCACCGAGTCAGCTTGCTACCCGGGGTCAGGGCCATAACCAGATGCCTCGAAAAGACAAGAGCAGGATGCAGAACAGGGCTCGGCGACATGGCAGACACAGCAAGCTGTTGGATGTGGAAGAGGCGGATGACGATGTGCCAGCGTCGCTGCTCATCGACCACAACGCTCAGGACATTGACCCAGACTCCATCACCCTGCCTCCACCGCCAAGCTCCATGCCTGATGGTCTACCGCGGCGAGACGATACGGGTCCCTCAAGTCTAGCTCGAGGTTCTGACATGAGACGCCGACCTGGTCTCCCACCTAGCAGCCAGAACCCTTCGGGAGCACGGCCGATCAGTGGGATTGTGGGAGGCAATCTTGCGAGCGCGGACCCCAAGGAGAAAGCCATGTTCCGCTGGGTCAACGTGACGGATCTGGACAACTTCCTGCTCGAAGTGTATACCTACTACCTCCACCACGGATTCTGGTCCACCCTCCTCATGCGCTTCTTCAATCTTCTCAACGTTGCGTTTATCGTGGGCTTCTCTATTTTTTTGACCCAATGCATCGACTACCGGGAAATACGAGGGAGCACCAAAATGTCCGAGATCCTCGTCCCGCAATGTACCGGACGGATGGGATTCATCCCGAATGCGCTGCTCTGGTGCACCACGTTTGTATGGCTTTGGAAAGGCGTTCTGTACCTCTTCGACATTCCCCGTTTGTACCACATGCACGATTTCTACTTCTACCTCCTCGACATCCCGGAACAGGAGATCCAGTCCATATCGTGGCAAGAGGTCGTCAGCCGGCTCATGGCGCTACGTGACTCAAACCCGACCATCACGTCCAAATCGACGCGGGCCGGCGCCTTCGTCAGGACCCAGGACAAGCAGCGCATGGATGCCCACGACATCGCCAACAGGCTCATGCGCCGACAGAATTACATGATCGCCATGATCAACAAGGACATCCTGGACCTGACGCTACCGATCCCGTACCTGCGCCACCGTAAGCTCTTCACCCGCACCCTGGAATGGAACATCGATCTCTGCATCATGGATTTTGTCTTCAACCGGAAAGGCCAAGTCCGGCCCCTCTTCCTCAAGGATACGCACCGCAAAGACTTGGCCAATGCCCTGCGGTCGCGCTTCATTATCGCCGGCATCACCAGCCTGGCATTTGCGCCCTTCCTCGCCACCTTTTTCGTCCTTCGGCACTTCTTCCAGAACTTCAACGACTACCAGAAGAACCCGGCCCAGATCGGCATGAGAGACTACACGCCCTTTGCGCAGTGGAAGTTCCGCGAGTTCAACGAGCTGCACCATTTGTTCCGCCGGCGGATCAACATGTCCTACCCCTTTGCGGACCGGTACATCAACCAGTTTCCCAAGGACAAAACTGTCCAGATTGCGCGGTTTGTCAGTCTGGTTTCCGGGGCCGTCGTTTCGGTGCTCGGCCTGGCCACGATTCTAGATCAGGACAATTTTCTCAACTTTGAGGTCACCCCCGGCCGTACGACCATCTTCTACATTGGCATATTTGGCTCTATCTGGGCGGTGGCGCGCGGCCTGCTGCCCGAAGACAACATGGTCTACGACACGGCCTTCTCCATCCAGGAAGTCATCCAATTCACCCATTACGAGCCGAATCACTGGGCCAATCGCCTCCATACCGTCGAGGTCAAGGAGGAATTCTCTCAGCTCTACCAGATGAAGGTGATGATATTCCTGGAGGAGGTGCTGAGCATCTTCTTCACGCCCTTTGTGCTATGGTTCTCTCTGCCTCGGTGCAGTGAGCGCATCATTGATTTCTTCCGCGAGTTCACTGTTCATGTCGATGGGATCGGCTATGTTTGCACCTTTGCCGAGTTTAGCTTCATGGGCCAGGCCATCAGACCAGCTCCTAAGGAGAGAGGGGCCGTGAATGCGGATGGCACGACTGCTGCCACCGCGAACAACGCCAGCGCCAATGCGAAAACCAATACGAACACGAACCTAAGGGACGATTACTTCGCCTCCAAAGACAACAAACTCGAGCACAGCTACTGGGGCTTCATGAACGACTACGCTCGCAACCCAAAGACAGACATTCACTTCCCGTATAACAGCTCTCGACGACGCTTTAACTTCCCACCTCCAGTCCCCGGGCTCCCATCACCGTCCTTCCCGCCTCACGCAGAGCACCCAGGACACCCGCAACTGCACCGCCACGGCAGTTCAGGTCCTCTCCTGGGTTCGTTGGCCTCTCCGCCTCCTCAGCGTGGGACTTTCGGGACCCCTAGATTCAACGCCCTGGCTCAGAACCACGGCGCGAGTCAAGGCCACGGAGCAGGGTCTCCGCTCCAATCTCTCCTTCTTGACCCTCATCACCAGCCATCAGCAAGCGGCTTTGGCCCGGCGTCGCCTCAAGCGCTGAGGCCTCGCGGTGTCGGTGGCTTACTCGCCAAACCCGCCCGTAGGACTGCGCCTGGCGACCGTGCCCGTGGACTGCACCCCGACGACGTCGCCGAAGAGGAAGATCAGCCTCCCGAGGATCTGCAAGCACCCACGTCAACTGCAGATCGTCCTGCTCCTCCCTCACAAGCACAAGGTTCTTCGGCTCCCGACCCTCCATCCCAATCCCACTCGGGTGCCTTGGGATCCTGGAACTACGAGGTTGATTCCTCCTCTGGTGCGGATAGCGAGGAAGAAAACGAACGGGACGTCCGGGCCATCATGGCGCCGATGGGTCCCTTGGGTCTAATCAGGCAGTTTCAAAAGGCGCAAGCTCAGGAGAGAAACGGCGGTCTAGGCAGGATTGGAGGTGAAGTGTAATACCATGAATGGGTCTCAACTGAATTGAATCGACGTTGACGAAAAGAGACGACCGGGAACAGAGTGTCGGTCCATTGTCAGTTGTCTCTCCGAGGACAATGTATGCATATAGAGCTTTACGTAGCTATACGTAGCAATACGTACGAGTGTGTGCCATGGGAGGACTTGCAGCGTGCACACACATTTACTATGGCTCGAGTAGATTACGCTTGAAATCGATGATTTGATTTCAGCCAGCAAGCCAGTAAGTAACTCGGTCGCTCGGGCAGTCAAGACTGCATGTATGGTTCTCGAGACACGGACATGGAAGCGCCCACGGTCGTTCATGCCTGTGACATGATGTGCATACCGTAGTGACAGTACTGTGTACCTAGTTGATTAGTCCGTCCGGCAGAATGCATGGGATATTACACATGTACACGTACATATGGTAGGGGTAGGATGTAGGAGGTTCGAGGTAGGAGGCACCTACTATGTCTGCACCCGACCTCCGTACTCTATACTCTGTCCTCTGTCCTCTGTACTTTCCGCGAGTGTTCTATGTACATACCAGGTATATACAGATATAGATACAGATAGGTATGCATGCTCCTGAGGTATCGATCACGGGGTCGACGCATACGGAAAAGAGTGGGATCTTATGGATCTGAAGTACAGAACGGGATGAGATGGAACCCGCGGTGCGTGGGAAAGGCGTGGGAAGTAACCTAGACGTCTTGTTGGAAATATACAAGGTACTTTATACGTAGACTGACTGGTCTGGACTACGTATCCATACTGAGTGACTATACTGAGCGAGTAAACAGTGAGTATACAGAGTACGTGCTCTGGCAAGGAGGATTACTCGTACGGGGTACGGGATACGTACGGACTGCTGTACAGGAACCTGAAGGATTGCATGTCTGCTGGAAATGGATTCCCAAGACCCTCTCCGTCGGTTGGTGAGCCATAACATGACTAGCCACAAGGGTGGACGTAGACCTTGGGGTGTCGTTCGTTGGTTCGGTCTACATGTCGAGATGCTATACTCCGTACCCCCCAAGTTCGTGTATGTAACCTCTCCTCTCTCGTCTCGACAACGTCCCCATTCTTTTATACCGGACGAGAACTTCAACAACGCCAATGCGCCCTCTCACGTATCTGTCTGTGGCTGGTGTGGAGGTTAATGCTCCACTGGGTACTTGCAGCACGGAGGACGCCTATTTGTTGTGAGACCCGGCTGAGATGGTGGAGGGTACGGTCGTTCTGCGCGGGATGGCTGGGGAGATGGGAGTCTTACAAAAGTATGGGTCAGTCTAGACGAGTCACGAGGAGGAGCGGGATAGGACGGAAGCAGACAGATCCAGTGTTGACGCTGAGGATGGTGCAGACACGGAGGGTGATGGAGGGTTCAATGCATTGGCGGCGCAAGCATGGCTCGCCGCCATCCTGTGCATATTTGCTCCGTACCGTGGTTGGTAAAGCAGGCGGACGGCAATGAATCAAGCAGCGCTCCCGCCATCTCTCCAGTCAAGTCCTGCCTAGTCTGTACAGTGGGGCGGATCACCCAGGATACTTCGATAGAGGCCCGCGTCACGGCTGATAGATGCTGTGCTGGTAGATCAGATCGTCCACGCTGCCTGTCGCACGGGTGCAGTGCATAGCGACATCAGCCAGATATCTGCATGTCCTGTGGAGCGTATGTCTCGCGCAGCGCTCTGGGACCTACCTCATCTTCTTCGCCATGATCCTTTTCCCTTGTCCGAATATCAAGGGGGCTGTGAAGGTGAGCGCGGGATACGACCATTGTGATGCACAATCCACTAGTCATGAATCGATCGATTCATCTTAAGATGCCTGTCTTGCGTTCTCCGTTGCGCCTCCTCCTCATTGATTCGTTCGTCGACAGGTAGTCGAGAAGATGTTGTTGGAAGGAGAGTCATGGCAACGGCTGTGTAAGTTCAAGGGATTGAATGGTGAAGATGCACTTCATCCACAACAGCGTCCGTGAAGTTCGAGGACTAAAAGAGCAGGGGCAAGTCAAGTCGAGCAGCTCACACGAAGTCCATTTCACCGATGGGACAATCCATATCTGGCTGGGAGGTGTATGCCGATCCGCTCAGTCGGCTGCCCGCTCAGACGGCTGTCACGGCTTTCGGTAACTGACCATATCGCTGGTTCTCAACACGCAGCACGGTCTCGACCATGTCCCCAGCAAAAGGCCTGGGTTGGGGGCGACTGAAATTTGCCCTGCGTGGTTGTGAAGCTGCGTAGTCGTTCGTCTTCCAGAATCGCCTCCAGTAGCGAGATTATCGGCGATCTGCCCATCGCTCACTCCACGACCAAGAGAGAAATACAAGGCTGCTCCGTATGGTCAACTGTTGTGGCTGGCTTCATCCCCGTGAAGCGACAAGTAGACCGCAACGTAGACGAAGTCGCGCCCCTCCCATGAATGGAAGCAGGTTTCCCAGCGGTTCTGTTCGGTTGGTTGGTCGGTCGTACAGCTCCAATCCATCATCGCCACCTGCTACGAGGATATCCCTCACGGAAGCTCATAGCGCTGAAGATCCATCGCTGCACTCGTAAGCAGCCGCTATGTTCAGACTACCCAGCTGCAATCTCTGCCCTTCTCGATAGTCCGTCTGAGACTCCAGGGACTCTGTTGCAATTCATGGCTGCGTCCTTTTCCCGACAGAGTAAGTTGTTGTCCGATCTGGCGCACCTCAGGGTCGAGAGCCGCGAGAACTCCTGCACTTAGTTGAGCCTCACCCGTCCTGCCCATTGGTTCTCGGTTGTCTTGACGGTCATCCTGGACCTATCACAAACCCTGGCCCCATCACGGTATGATTGCTACCTTGTCAGAAACTCGACCTGAGAGCTTTACGGACATCGCGCCATCGTTGTTGGAAACTATACTCTAAGGCCTCTGAAAGACCATTATAGGCAGTGGACGACGCGTTCGCCACATTGACTAGCTCGAAACGGTTTGTCCACGTCTCCTGATACCGAAATTGTCTTGGATATCGTCCGTCGCTTGGTGGCCACGTTGAGCCTCAGCATCAAGCTGATGGGGTCCGTTCCTAGCTGGCTGGATGCCGTGTATCGTGAGTAGTTGCAGATGGGGGCGACGTCGATCTTAGCTAGACAAGTGTGCCGCCTTGAGTGCGAGTCAGGTGCTGGTCATCCAAGTGGGCCACAAGTCTTCGAGATGAAGAGAAGTTGCGTAAAGGAAATTTTTGGAATCATTCCCACCTTATGGCGCCCTTCAAGTCTCGGGGCTAGTTCATGCGGTGAAACCAATGACTCTCCGACCATGCGGCGACCTGAGGACAGAGGGGAAGTTGTCGCTACTCGGCCCAATACCGCTGTGGGAAATCTGTAATGTGGCAGGATTGTTAGGCCGGAAGAACAAACCAGGCAATTTTGCCCTATGTGGTAGAGGGCCGACTAGCTCTTATATAGAGCCCAAGCGCGAGGCTCCACAGACGAAGCTTGATTCTTTGCGGTGAAACGGGTTTGACGTGGATATTCAGTCAGCACCAAGTCAGCATTGTGGAGACATCGACGTGCCGTTCCAACCGCGATATTCCGTAGACCAGCGGCGTGGCAAAGGAAGACCGTTGTACCGGGGTATCTGTACACAGCGTAAGAGTACGAGGATGTTGTGCACAGGGTATGGTATGCAGGACGGTAGGATCAACACCTGTGGGGATTGTATAATGATGTGCATTTTACGCCCTGCTCCGCCACTTGCTCGGTAGGCCATCTGGAGCAGAACGTCAGCTTCGTAGTATCCTGTTGGTGACTTCTCCTCCGAATGGCCAAGGTATTGTTCTATGCTCGGAGTGGCGAGGGCACTTGCAGTGTTGGCTTGACTGTTTCTCCTTTGCGCAGAGCCTTGGCTCGTAAAACAGACTACACGTTCGACAGGGGCGCTATGACTGCTTCGCCGTGATGATCCTGCTTCTGCTGACTGCCTGACTTCGTTTGGCGGCACGATGGATACTTGTTGTATGGGTCTCAACAAAGGTGGTTGTTGGTAACTGTGGTACTTTCGTCTACATGGTGCGCACTGGGTATTGACTAAGCCGGCCATGTATGCATAGCTCCTTCGATGGCGTCCACACGGCAAGGCTGGAACTAGGACAGTCGTCGAATAATGTTACGAGCTCAGTGGTCACCATAGATCCCTGTGTTGAGCATCATGGTGCCGTTTCGGTAAGAATTCAGCTGCACGTAATTGGTAAGAGCATTTCTTGGCCATGGTGAGACCGGCGATCAGCGGGATGCACCGTCAACAGGAATTGCACGCAATCCAGGGCCAGTACAAGGGCGGCACTGCCATTGGTCTGTCCCACCGCAAACCTGTGTTGGTCATCCGTTCTTTATTGAGATGCGCTCGAGCTCCAGGGTCGGAGGTAGATTAGGGTGAGCTGATTCATGTCCTCGGAAACAGCACTGCGGCAGTCCTGTGCCAAGTTGCTGAGCGCGTGGAGAAGCTCTGAACGTTGTAAGCGAGCTGGGACGAGCAACTGAGCAATCTTGCCGTAACGACGAAGGTTGCGGCAGGTACTCCGTAGTGTTGCATCACTTCTTTGCTCGGCTCCTGAGCCAGTCTCCCATAAGCCCGGCAGGACGAAACTTTCTGGTAGCTCCGTGTCGAACGCATTCTGCGCGCATGGTCACGGACGTCCCTAATCTCGTCCAGACGTGCCCGCTGGGTTGCCAATGCTATCACTAATGCGGTGCGAGTGTGACGTACGAGCCTCGCTGAACATCAACAAGAGGCACACGAGGTCTAGAAGGGTCGTACTGTGGTTGTACTTCTCCTCGAAGCGACTTGGCAGCTGGAACGGGTCGTTTGCAATTGCCTCGTCGGTTGCTGTTACCACGTTACCGAAAGTTAGCCATGTAGTTTTCGTTCTGCTAAGGGTCAATGGAGCCCCCGAGCTAGGCCGACCGCCGACCTGGGTCGCAGGCGGCGGGTATCATATTGTCACGGGATTCGGTGGCGTGTTCAGACGCCGAACGGTACGAGGTAGTCCTGTGTACGACGGTTTTATAAATAGGGGAGCTGGGGTGATTATCAGGTAAGCAACCAGCCTAGCCGCAATGGCCTTGGGCGACCAGCAGGCTGCTTCGCTTCTGGAGCCACCGTCTTTTGGCGACCAGCAACGTGCGGCTGAGAACGCAAAGCTTACTTGTGCGAGGGAGCCCAGCCAAGCGGGCGGGAAGGGAGCATGAGCCTGAGAACCCAACCCGCCTTGCCTGTCTTGACGCTCGTCTACGAAAATCGTGTCCGTCAGTCACAAGAATTGTTCGAATGTCAGATGCCTCCGTATTCAGGGCGATGATGGAACCTTCTTTGCATCACGGCTGGTGGGACTATGATTACCCGTCCCTGTACGTGCATAGTGTACTGGCCTCACCACCTACTGACCTTCTCAGTATAAGTTGCACATCAAACCATTCGTTCACTGCGCGGGGCTGGTAGGTATCATTGAGCCAGGTGGTGAAATTCTTATGCCACTCTGGCCACCCACTCGAATGAGGACATCCCGAAATCCGACGGGGTTTAGATCTTCCACGTGGATCAAGAACCTTGTTGGCGAAGTGATCGTCGTACGGAGAGGCAGGCTCGTCTACCAGTACGAGTACTTTCTTTGGAAAGTCGTCCCGAAAGAGGAATCTGCGGCGGCTCCTTTCAGACAAATCGAGTGTGGCGGGCAAATGCAGGCTAGCACACGCCGCCACGGTTGATGGATGTGGAGGTGATTGTCCGAATTCCGAGATTGCGCGCTTCCCACTTCGGCCGTACGAGTCTGGCTCGGAATCTATACCGTGCCGCAAAGGACGTGATGTCTCCTTGTACATACTCTGTAGACACGCTGTTGCGCACGAAACCTCAGACTCCCAAGTGAGTGGGATTGCCTCGTAACAACAACTACTATGATGTCCGTGGTTGGATCAGCGACATGGCATGTCAATCACATCGCCGCTACGAGGCAGTGATCTACGAGGCTGATACGTACGAAGTCCAATGCACCTCGTGTTGACCTGCATCAAATATTGTAACTCTGATGGATACTACTCGAGGCTATAATACGCAACCTTGAACATAGTGATGAAGCAGACGCTGACAGTTATTACCAATGGCGAGTTCGTAGAATGTGCACATTCAATCTTGCCACATGTCTATTGCGTGCCTCTGGCCGTGCAGCATCATCAATGAACTTGAAATGAAGAAGAAGTGAAAGCATGTTCGCGGAATTTAGCGCCAATCAGCTAGTGTCCCTCATGCCCCTCCATCAGTTTGCAGCGTTAATAAGCGAGTTGCAGCCCTCGTCCCTCTTGTGACCTTTCAACTGCTCCTGCCTGATGTGAGCTTGGCCTCGCTACCATTTGCTATCGCCATTTTAACAATGCTTCGCGGTTGCATCGGCCGGATTTGCTTGCTGAAAAATTATTGAAGCTGATCCAAGGCCTGCCACTCCTGTTGTGACGGCCCAGCAATGTCCTCCAGACAATAGCGTCCCTAGATTAGGGAACAGCTTTCATCCGACCAGCGCATGATGTGTATATGTTCAGAGGAAATTTGAAATCGAAATGCCGGATCTTGATTGTAGCTGATGACCACAAGAACCTAACGGGAAGGATTGATGACGATGAAGCCAGTGTCATGTTGAGTGTGATGGTTATCACTATCGCCGAACCAGAATATCACTGCTCCCGTTGGGGACACACATTCACACGCAGGTAGTTGTGTCCACCGTATGGAAGGACCTTGTGATCGACCTCTACACTACATGTCTGTCTCGTAGTAAACCGCCGATTGGTCTATCTTTGGGACTTGAGCGACTGTCAATTAGTCGTTACTTGAGCAGGCGCGGAGGGTTCGCCCAATATCGATCGTGAATACGAGTACCCGGAACACATCTCCTCGGACTGGCTGTCTGCAGACCGTGCACCTTCAGCTCTGCCGCTCGCATAAGGACGTATACTCGTACCTGAAGTCGTTGACCATTCTCACACTCAGCCGCCAAGCTCAGCGACACCTCGGGCAGCAATCTGATGCGGGTAACCAAAATACTACCGTCTGACATGGTAAAGGATGAACGGGTCACAATTTGTCACCTTTGACATTTCCGACATTCTGAAGGCGGACCCCACAGTACGAAGAAACCCAGTCTATCCCTTTACCGCTCCCACCTGTGCCTCGAGGCGCTGTTCGTGGCGCTGATGAGCCCAGATCCCAAAGCTAGCACAGCAACGCTAGGGGCCATAGATCCCTGATCCTTGCATCCGCCCCTTTCAAACCGTCTCCCTGTTCTGCATGCGGTACCTCCCCTGCTCCCAAAGCGTTTGCTTGCACTGGTGCTGACTACCACAGCATGAAGGAACGAGCATCGTGGCACAAACAGTCTCACTGCCATTCTCCCGAAATGCCTTCCCATCTCGCCTTCGTATCCCACGCGGCGAATGGATGCACGCCCACTGGCGGCACTAGATCACCTCTAGCCTCGAGGCTGCTCCTATCTCGACCCCAACGCTCGACCCGCGCAGCGACGCAAGTGAGATGATAAACCGGCCCAATTCCATTCGTGTTCGTCTGCTGCGTCCTCACACCAGAGCCTTGTTCTGACCTTGATATAGACAGCCAGAGTACCAACCCTGTCGGACACACATCTGTCTGTGCTCTCGTTGTCAACCCCTGGGGCCTCGTATTCACGGTCTAGGATCGTCGTGCTTGGGCTGTTGACTCGGAGCTGGGACGCTCTCCCGCGCAAATCTGCAGATCTACACTAGCCTAGGCTTCTCTATTCTGCATACCCCTGCAGAATCTCCAGCATGATCGTCGAGTCTGGGTATGTATATCGCATTCCTGGTCTCAGACATCTTGAACTGACAGGTGCAAGGGCGACGACGACGGCATCAATGGCATCCTCGGCGCCATCTACATCGTCTACATCGACCGCCTGTGCGACTCATGGCACCTCTACTTCGTCACCCGCTACGAAACCCGCAACCACTGTTTCCAAGACGGAGCCGAAACCTATCAAACTGCGGGCGGCTTGCAACCACTGTTTCTCGGCAAAGGTAACATGCATGCCCTTCATTGCGTCTTGGACCCCTGCTGATTTTAATCGGAACAGGTTCGATGCGACGGGAATAAAGAAGGATGTCGCAGATGCTGTGAAAAGAAGTTGTCTTGCGTCTACAGCGAGTCCAGAGTCGGCAAAGTGGTAGGCAAGCGAAGGAAGCGGCCTCTGGACGACTCAATCGGCACGATCAACTCGCAGTCCTGGATCGTCCACAATTCCATCCCTATACAGTCTATTCCCTCGCCGGCCACCACCCATACTTCGGATGAGTCCGGCAAAAGACAGTGCACCGCTCCCACTTGGTCTTCGTATCTCGTCGGAGGTGACCAAAGCTTGCTCAATTTCGAGGAAACCACCGAGTCTCTGAGTGCCCTGGACATGGCAGGCAACCGGAGCTACTCAATGGCCAGTGATCTCAGCTTCTTCAGCAACACCGGCCTGCCGACCCCGAGCCTCAGTCCTCCACAGTTCCCGCGATATCTCTCGCCCGCTCAATTAGAAGCCCGCCCCATTTCCAGACAATCACCATGCCCTGTTGATCCCTCGAAACTGCACCCGCCGAATCGTGGGACCTCGTCTCGCGTGGCCGACATGGCTTTTGAAGACGAGGAGACGGTATGCATCAAGCTATTGGCTCACCTGAAAAGGCACTCTACGGATGACATGCAGCCGCGGGAAATGCAACTTGAGCTGCTGAGGAAGAGCAACGCCGCGGTGCGTCGACTACTACGCAGCAAGTCGATCCAGACGGACTACACGTGCCATCTGTTGCTGTCGAGCATCATCAACCATCTGGTCCGGCTATGTGAAAGGTTATGCCAAGGGCGCCTGGACGAGTCGCAATTTTTCTACGAACAAGTGCACTTTGAAGGCATGCCCGGCTTTTTTGACACTCCGGTCCCGCAGAGCAGCGCCGCGGTTGATCAGGAGTTGGCCGGCAGTCTCATCCAAGAGGTGGGCGTCTTCACAACCGTAGTGGGGGAATTTCTGAAAAAGAAACCCATCTTTGGGTTTCAACATCTGGGTCGGCACGAGACGTTCCACGTCGAGTTAGAGCAGAGGCTGAAGAAGGCTACAGTCTTACTCCAGGCATGACCAGTACGACTACGTTGGCACGGACAACGGGTGGCTGGCCTCGTTAAGTCGCCCGGAGTGCGCAAGCGGATGTTCCGTGCTGGAGATGATAATGATCTACGGACAATGATACCATACGAGTTACACTTAAGCCTCTGCTGTGTCGTGTCCCACTTCCTCGAGTCCGTGCATTCGACAATGCTCCGGTGCCAAATGCTGCATATAAGCCAAGCACTTGCCACTCGAGACATCCGCCGGGCACAGTCCCGCGTCCGGAGTACGGAGTAGTGTCGCGGATGAGCCGCAAGCGGGGCGACCGTCACGGTGATTGGCGGCTCTGCGTCACTCGTACCTCGTATTCTTCCTGAAATCCATCAGACTGCGACCCGCAAGCTGGAGGATGCTCATGTCAGAGCACAGGGGCCACCTCTGTTCAACATCGAGTCGTTGATGACCGGGTCGTGGCTGTCGTTTTTGCCATTCAACGCTCCGCTCTCGTACCAGCCTCTGCCTGCAGAGACAGTTGCGTCGGTGGCAGTCGTACAACCCCGATCGCTGACTAGATGGTACACTGCTGTTGACACGGCCCCCTCGTCCTGCACCGACATTGTCCGGCTCCATCTTGTCCGGCAAATGCAGGCTGTGTTGTCTGGTAGCTGGACTCTGATTCGCGACTGCCGAAGCAGCAGGGCAAGATGATGCGCCTCCGCCGCTACCGGTTGTTTCTGGTGGTGGCGCTCTGCGCGGTTGTCCTGGTGTACCACCTGACTAGGACAGATGCCTGGGATAGCTCATCCTTCGAGGCTCTTGTGGGATTGGGATCACATCACGCTGGGAAACTGACTGCAGATTTACCGACGCAACCTTTTGGTGTCCCAGTGCCTCCCCGAGAAGAGCCTGCGGATCAGCCAGTCCAGCCGCCGCATCCTGCCCTACCACCCAACGACGTTCGGGGCTCTGCTCCTTCGCCTTCGCCTGCTCGAGATACCGCCTCGCCCTCTACGTACGTGCAGGATCCAGCGCGGGCTGTCTCTGAGGAAGAGTTGCTCACAACGCAAACGGGTCTCGATGAACTCGGTTCACATGATGCAGGTCAGGCCAGGGTCAGGCCGCAGCCTCCGGAAGAGGAAACAGTGCACTGGGAGCAACAACAGGAGCATTTTCCGATCCCGTCGCATAGCTTGATACTCTTGCCAACGGGCGAGCCGAAAGCGCTACCCCGGGTACAGTACGACTTTGCGAAGGAGACGTCTACAACGAAGCGGGATCGGACACGGAAGCAGACGGTCATCCGTGAGGCTTTCAAGCATGCTTGGTTCGGCTACAAGAACTATTCACTCCCGCACGATGAGCTCAAGCCCCTCTCCAAGGACGTGGGTGATCCGTTCAATGGGTGGGGAGCCACTCTGGTGGACTCGCTCGACTCTCTGTGGATCATGGGGCTTTACGACGAGTTTGCAGAGGCTGTGGAGGAAGTGAGCAAAATCGATTTCAAGACCTCGGCGCGCAAGGACATTCCCCTCTTTGAGACGGTGATTCGTTATCTCGGCGGACTGATCGCAGCATACGACCTGAGCTCTGGGAGGTACCCAGCCCTGCTGGACAAGGCTGTCGATCTGGCAGACATCCTGATGGGCGCCTTTGACACCCCGAATCGAATGCCCGCCGTCTTCTACAAGTGGGCTCCATCCTATGCGTCGCAACCGCATCGGGCCAGTCCGCACTCGGTCCTGGCCGAGATAGGCTCCCTTTCGGTGGAGTTCACTCGCTTGGCGCAGATTACGAGGGAACCGAAGTACTACGATGCAGTCGCACGCGTTACCAATGCTCTCGAGGATTGGCAGATGAAGACGTCTTATCCGGGTCTTTGGCCGCTGAGACTGGATGCGTCCGGCTGCAAAAGGCCTCAAAAGCCCGAAGACGGCGAGCTCGTCTCCGACTCAGCAGCTGTGGTAATGCCGGAGTCTGTTGCTCCTGAAGAGTTGATCCGGGAAAATGATGACTCGTCTTCGGAAAACTTCCCTGCGGCGGAGTTCCGACCCTCCCGCGAAGATCACGGCGTGAGCCGGTTAAACAAGAGACAGCAGCTGTCCTCTTCGCCACCGCGGGAACAACCTTTGCAGAACAAGGCAGGGGAGACCGGGAAGAAACCTGCGGTCAAACCGCAATGGACCGAGGACGAGTTTGACGACGTCGATTGTGAGCCCCAAGGATTAAGCACCGAGCCGCAGGCGAAGACCCATACCTATGGCATTGGCTCAATGGCCGACTCGACTTACGAATACTTTCCGAAGGAATATGCACTGCTCGGCGGGCTTAATCCTCAATACAGGACCATGTACCTCGACTCGATGAAGGTTGTCCGGGAGGAACTGCTATTTCGGCCCATGACGAAGCAGAACCATGACATACTCTTTTTGGCAAAGAAGAACATCTCGCCCGGGCACAAGGATCCGAAGAAGAGAAAGGAGACCTTCTACGAGGGCACGCATCTCGGCTGCTATGCCGGAGGCATGTTTGCGCTTGGCTCTCGGTTGTTCGATTTGCCGTCTGACATCGCTATCGCGGAAAGGCTTACTGACGGATGCGTTTGGGCGTATGGGTCTACGCCTGCAGGTGTCATGCCAGAGGAGTTCGAGCTTGTGCCTTGCGATAGTCGCACTTCCTGTCGTTGGGACGAAGCCAAATGGCATGAGGCCCTAGACCCACGGCGTGAGGAGAGAATGCAAGCGGCGGAGACATACAATGCCATGCAGCAGAGGCTATACAAGGAGACTCTGGCTGACGTCGATGTGGTTGACGAAGAAGAGCAGGCTGTCCCTTATTCTGTCCTGACGGGCCGCCGTTTGAAGAGGCGAGACAGCCTCACGGATATGGAAGAAGACTCCGCAACACACCCACGCGTGGCAGATGATGCCGACACTGGCACGAACAGTCTGAAGCCAGGCCTCTTCGTGCCCACGGTCCCCTTGTCTCACGAAAAGTACGTAGCGGCCAAGATTCAAGAGCAGCGATTACCACCTGGATATACCAAGATCCAGGCGAGAGATTACCGACTCCGCCCTGAAGCCATCGAGTCGGTGTTCATCATGTACCGACTCACCGGCGACGAGACGTGGCGAGACAAAGGCTGGGCCATGTTCGAGGCAGTCGACAGGGCCACCAAGACGGAGATTGCCAATGCTGGCATCAAGGACGTGACCAGCCTCCTCCAAGAGCAGCAAGACACAATGGAGTCGTTCTGGCTCGCCGAGACGTTGAAGTATTATTATCTGCTTTTTAGCGAGCCGGACTTGATCAATTTGGATGATTATGTTTTGTAAGTGACTGCTTGATATATGGCCCTGCAGCAACCTACTGACCTGAGATACCAGGAATACAGAGGCACATCCATTCCGACGGCCGAAGCCGGTGTAAACGGGGCCTGTCTAGCCAGAGTCTCGAGAGACGACGACGGCTCATCTGTACAGCATCATAGATTAGTGTCTGCATGGACGATGACTGATTCCACACACCTAGTTCACTGCCCTTAACATTATCCTCGTATACAAGTGGGCCGGCGTCGCCAACTCTGTAGACATCAAGCTCCACCAGCGTCAAACAAGCCGTAGCGGAGACGGCCCTTGACAGGCTGTAACCATGGCACGGTGGCCGTCACCACCACGTGCATTCTCGCGTACCTCGTACCGCAGGTGTCACGCTGATCCGGGCTTTCCAGCTGCAACCACGGCGTCATCAGCGACGGCCCCATCCCCGAACTTGGAAGCCCGTTCACTCCACACTTCCCATGACAGCTGCGACACTCTGAGTTCACGCTCGCTCTCGTGATGCTGGCGTGGCAATTATCGCTGAATGTCCGTGCACCACTGCGCCTCTTCTGGGTTCAAGGAGAGCGTCTGATCCGCTTGTGACCTCTGAGCGACTCGACGACATGAAGCGATTCATAGCATGGAACACGAGGTTACTTCAGACTTCGAGGACGAACAACAGTTCTGGATCGGTAGGGACAGACATCTTCCCAGGCCTCGGTCAGGGCTAATATCTCCGCCCTGCAGTTCTCGAGGAGACAGTCTCAAAGCAATGTGACACGCATGACAGCATCGACGACACTTTGCGATCCTACATAGACCTGATCGGCTCTTGTCGCGGTGAGTAGTTCCACCGCCAGACCACCGCTGCGCTGACTTTGGCCGATGCCATAGGACGCTTCCTGCCTTCCGACTATGATCTCGGCCGATGCGCCTTGAAGCTCCAAGAGTCGCCGCTGTTCGCTGCCCATGCCGACTACGTCTGCCGCCAGTTCGTTCATTGTCTGATCGAGGTGCGTCGAAATAAGAGCTAGGATTTCCATGTGCTGGACTCACACACAATTTACTCAGGATGACGAGCCGAACGTGGTGCTGGCTGCAACGTCGTTTTTGATTGCTCATGCTCGTGCGAACGAGGCAACCTACCAGCTGTTGAACGACGAGGGCGCGTTCCCGCGACTGATTGATCTGATCTCGAGTCCGAAACAACATGGCCACGAAGGAATACACAGACTCCTCATGGAGCTGCTTTATGACATGTCGCGCATCCAGAGGATCAAGACCGACGACTTGGGTACGTGATCAGCTCAGACGAGCGAACACTGGCTGATGTGACTACCTCCTGTGGAACAGCCCGCGTCCATGATGAATTTGTCAAGATGTTGTTTGAGATCATCGAGCAGGTCTCGGACGACGTCGATGACCCCTACCATTATCCCACCATTCGCGTTCTGGTAGGCTGTTCCTCAACACCGAGCGCATCCGACCTAACAAGTTCCGCAGCTAGTTCTCAATGAACAGTTCATGGTCGCCGCCCACGACCCGGTCAGTGGTCAAGCTCCGGCTCCCCTGACAAATAAAGTGATCAAGGTGCTTTCTGCTCACGGCAGTGCCTACAAGACCTTTGGCGAGAACATCATCCTATTGCTAAATCGTGAAGGTATGGCACCCGTGGTCTTATTGACGTACGATTTTTCTGACCTGCCCAGACGAAACGTCTCTGCAGCTCTTGACTCTAAAGCTGCTCTACCTCCTTTTCACCACGCCGCCTACATATGAATACTTCTACACGAACGACCTGCGTGTCCTGGTCGATATCTTGATTCGGAATCTGCTGGATCTGCCCGAAGAGGCTTCATCTCTGCGTCATACATACCTTCGAGTCCTGTACCCGCTGCTCGAACATACCCAGCTCCAGCACCCTCCACACTACAAGAGGGACGAGATTCGGAAATTGTTGCTCGTGCTGGGTGGCGGCCATGTCACAGATCAAAATGGCACTCAAGAGGGTCTCCATCACTGGGGTCATTTTGACGACGTAGATGAGACGACGAAACGCCTTGTCAAGCGATGTGAAGGTGTGAGTTGGCTGACGGACCCGGCGACGGAACCGCCGATGCAAGCAGAATCGCCTACAGACGATGTGGCATCCGACGCGTCGTCACCGACCTCTCCGACGAAGGCTGTTCCGCCAGCTCTCCCAGCGCCCCGGAAACTCAAGAAGCGAAACTCCACGAAAAATTCCATCCTGACCATTGGTCAGTATCTGACGCCTCAACTCGAAGGTGCGAGGCAGTCGAGTTTGAGCATGATGGCAGTCGCAGCGCAGACGGAGAAGCCAGGAGTCATTACCCCAAGCAGGAATCCAAGTCTGAAAAACAACTTGCGCGCGGCGATAATGCAGAAGAAGGAGAAGCCTCCGCCGCCTCAGGCGAGACGGTCTGGCGTGATGAGGATGAAGGCCCAGAGAATGGAGAGTGACACGGAAATTGCGACCGCCGAAATACTAGAGAACGAACCGGTCACAACGAGACCTGGGAACGAACCGGCGACCACGAAAACTGAAAATGGACAGGCAACAACGAAGCCTGAGGCTGATGACAGTCCCCAAAACCCGCCTCGTCATCATCACCACCATCCTCCTATACCGTTCCACCACCATCACCACCGTCACGGCAAGCCCCTAGCTGATGTTGCAGACAAGGAAAAGGTCAAAGAAAAGGAGAAGCCACCACCGCCGATCCCGACTCATCACAGGGGCCTGCCTTTCAGCAAGAAACCTCCACCTGCCCCGAAAGCGAGACGGAGAAAGGGAAGGGAAGGTAGTGGTGACAGCACACGAGAACCTGGGAGATTCAGCGTAAATCTCCCCTCTATAATCACGACAACAACATCGGGCAAGAAAATACCCGAGGACAGTCCATTTTCACCGGTGGACCAGATATTAAGTCCTTCAGAGTCAGACTCCGCGTCGACACTTGAGAGCCGGGCAAAGATGCCTGTTAGCGAGGCTCTGGAAAAGGCCCAAGTTGGAGCGCTCGAAAAGATCCAGGAGACAATGGAGCAATTCGAGCTCGAAGAGAAGTCGCCAGACGAGGCCGATGCTGGAAATAAACCCGCATTAGCACCCTTGGAAGAAGATGTAATCGAAGAGGCCGGCCACGAAAACATTGCCCATCCGCCAGTACACGCCGAAAAGCTAGCCATGTCCCGCGCGCATTCCCAAGAAGAACTTGACCAACCCTTCCACGACGCAGTCACAAACCAAATGCTCTCGCCGTCGCCATCATATTTGGCACAATCGCGAACTCTCTCTTCTGGCGCAACGGGGGAAGACAGTGCCACCCCTTCCGAGTCAATCACGCCAATTATATCGCAGACCATACCCACAGTTGTTGGCATACCTAGCGTCGAGAAAGCGGTGGAGCATCCTCAAACTGAAATGCAGATGCCTAGGATGGTTCTTACCCCGCCGGCGCAGGAGCCCTCACGGGGTGTCCCGGGGCCACAGTTCGAGATGGAAAGGAGTCCGTTCCTAACGGATGAAGAAGTGGAAGAAGAGACAGATCAGACAGATGATGACGAGCTTGACAAGGCCGATGCACCGTCGAGTATCTAGCATTGATGACTAGAAAAGAGGCGAGCGAGCGAGCGAGCAATCAAGTAAGCGAGCAGGTAGTCGAGCAGTCGAGCAATCGAGCAATCGAGCAATCGAGCAATCGAGCAATCGAGCAATCGAGCCAGCCTGATCTTAAGATGCATGTCTAGAGGCCGGCCTACTCTTCAGTTGGCACGGTGGACCAAGAGATATGTGGTATGTACAGCAGATTCACAAGAACCATACGGAGTACACGTTACTGTACGGGACTGAACAGATGAGCCAGGAATGGAAAAGGCCGGGCGTTGTTAAACAGTTAAAACCCGAGTAATTGATTGACTATGAAAGAGACACGCGCGAGACAATAAATACCACTAAATATGTATGTATGTATGTATGTATGTACGTATGTATGTATGTACGTATGTATGTATGTATGTATGGATGGATGGATGGATGGATGGACTTCTAAGTACCGTCCTTAGCTGCCTGTTTACTCTCTTTATCCCAGAAGTCGTCTTTATGGGATTCGCCATGTGGTCCCCCGCTGCTCTACAGAGCCAATACAGCAATGTACAGAAGACAAGTATCCTCGAACTCCTTGAGCATGGTGTAAAACGGGCTAGCAACTTTCCGAGTGGGCGACAGAGAGCGGCCCGCCGCTTATTCATTGCATTGAGTAGTTTACGCTACGTTTTCATTTGACGACTTTCAAAGGATAGATAAAGTACCTGTATGGGGAAATAGACATTCGACGAGGCGAGAGGAGAGGAGACACTGTCGATCAAGGCAAGACGCAGAGTGAAGGGGATGAAGTGAATCAATGGATGAGTGAGTGGCTGGGGTGGATGGATAGAACACCTGGGTACGATACCTGAGTCTGAGTGCGAGTGCGAGGACGAGGACGAGGACACAAGAGGAGGTATATGAACAGGGACATGAACACATGAACAGGACACAGACATTGATATGGAAGTGAAATGAGCATGAACATGAATATAGAAGTGATTATGAAAATTGAACACACCGTACTCCGCACCTCATGGACAAAAAATCAACCAAACCAACCGACCCCTGTCACAGACCCCGTACGTCCCCGTACACCTCGTACTCGTAAGCCTCGTCCCCTTCCAATAAAGCCAAACACAGTCAGTCAATCAATCAACCAGCCCTACCTACTCGTCTGCTCGTACTCGTACTCGTACGCGTGCTCGAACTGTCCCCTGATATTGTTGGGCCTCTACCAATTCCGAGTCCTTGTCTTCCGGGGGAGGTTCTCTCATGTGGGTGTCCGCAGAAAGCAGAAAGGAAGAAATGAAGCCGGTGTGGGCCAGGGAGACTCGAGTATGTAGGTACATATATCTAGACGGACGTGTTCTCCGTACTGTGTAATCCGTACTGTATACCGTGTGCGAGTTACGACTACAGACGGAGCGGGTGACCGAGACACGCGCGTGTTGGGACAATGCGTCGGTGCCGTTTCTGTTTTGGAGCGAGGACTGGGAAAACGGGCTCCCGATCGTCTCATTGATTTACTTCCTCTGCTTGGAGTGAAGGCTGGAAACGGCCCTCGTCTTATTGATTTACATCCTCATGTCGATCCTGTAGATCTGAGATGTTCAAGGGTGGCTCAGCTAATCGTCACCTCGGTGGCAAGAGATTGTCTTTCCTGACTCTTAAAAGTCCGAACACACTAGCGACTCACTCAACCAGGCAGTATCAAAAGCAAAGTAAAAGGGAAGGACTTGTATGTGTTGAATGGTTGAAATGCTATCTACTACCCATGCTCTGAGAGGGCACTGTTGGCTGGGTCTGGAAAGTAAGAAGCATTCAATAGCCAAAGCTCTCTGATATCCTGCGGCTGGCTGGCCATGATGACCTGCACGCCTCGGTACCCCTTGCATATCCTGAAAAGATCGAGGCGGTGGTCCTGCTGAACCCTACAGACCCGGTCCAGGCAAGGAGGACATCAGGTACCGACACTGGAATCCTGATATCTCTTGCTAACAGTACCGATCTGACCAGGTTCATGGACCTCACAGGGGGTGAAGTTGGGAATGGAAAAACTGTGCTTGGGTATCTTGTCGAAGATGAAAAACTGAAAAGGAAAATGTCGGGCTGAACGCATGCTCTGAAGCTCTGTGACCCCCGACGCCAGAACGCCATCGCTGATAGACGCCCATGGTAGACAACGTGAAAGGCTCTGCTTGAGTGTTTCTGACTGCGATTGGTCGTTCCGACGCCGAAATGTATGCGGGCTCTTGCCATCACTTCGTCATGCTGTGCACCCGGCGGTGTTGTGTACTCTTGAACAAACCACGATCTGCGGAGATCAGTTCGGACCAGGGCCGAGCATCGACCTAATGGCCGTAGATGCCGAAATGTGGCTCGACACCGAAAGCTCCAGCAGGCTTGTAACTCGCATCGTACGCCTGGAAGAGGAACAAGCCTCCAGGGTTTCCAGCGAAAGCGGCCTTGAGACTGGCAACGGCAGCCTGTTGATTCTCAGGCGAGGGGATCGCTAGACCATTGGCGCCTCCCTCGTACGGCCAGCCAGATTCCGTGACAATAATGGCTTTTCCGTTCGTCTGGATATTGCCGATGATGTTCTTAACGAAGGTGCCGGCGTTTGCAGCGGCGGTGTTGGCATCGAAGAAAGCGTGGGCGTTGACAGCACAGTAGTCGGATGCCTGGCAGATCTGAGGATGGGCAGTGTGCGCCATGAAAGTGTCAACCGCGACCACGTTCTTGGTGTACCCGGCAGCCTGCAGTTGAGCGCGGCCACTGTTGATCGCATCAGCGATTTGACCGGGGTTACCGCCTTGATTGATGACTTCGTTGCCAATGACCACGGTATCGATGGGGCCCCAATTTCCTTTGATCATGCCGATGAGGATTGACAGATCACCATTAACGTTACCGATACCGTTGAGACCGAGAGTGACCGAGAAGCCCGCGGCGGCGGCAGCAGCGGTGGCCACACTAAGGTCACAGCCGATATCGTAGAAGCGGATCTTCGAAAACCCTTGGGTAGAGAGGAAGCCGAATTCAGAGTTCAACTGGGCCTGAGGCTTGCAGCCATTGGAACCAATGAGTTCGAAGTCGATACCAAAGCCACCACCGGCTGCACTGGTGTCAGAACTGGCTCCGCCATGGCCGCCGTGCATGCCTTTGTTTGCAATTCTATCGTCGGGGGCTGCGGCCACGCTGGGCTCGGCTGAGGTGGGAGCGGCAGTAGCAGCGTCAGGGTCGTCAGTAGTCAGAGGAACGGGGGAGTTGGTGGCCTCTGCTGGTGCGAGATAGACCGAGAATACACTGTCTGGGATGGAAGTTGTAGGAGCAGCAGAACTTTCAAGCGTCTCCATGGAAGCCTCGAGTTCGGAAGCGAAGGCAGCATTCGCAGCGAGTGTAGGGGTGACAGCCAAAGAGATGGTTTCGGAGCTTGAGGGAAGAGTGGTGGGTGTTGGGTGGCCGTGGTACTCGGTCGAGAGGACATTGTTGAACTGATCGACCCAGACGACAGCATTGTTGGCGGTAACGGTAACAACGTCGGTGACGGTCGAGTATTCAGTCTCGACACGGCGTGCGGCGTGTTGGTGACGGTGATTATCTCCTGATACAAGTAAGTGTCTGCGCGCCGCATGTCGATCTGGAGACTTACCATGCGGAACAGCCAACACGACTGGCGCGCACACAGCGGCGACACTCAAGAGAGTGGCTTTCATGGCGACTGATGCAGTGAATGTGGTGTGCTGATAGCAGCGGAATGAGCGGCAGGACCTATATTCTCGAACGACAGACGAAGTAAGCTGATCAGTCCACCGGCCTGCGGTTTTGCAAGAAGTGAAAAAGGTGGCTCAAGGCAAGATAGCCTGCGAGGTCCGCCAACGATCGAGTGCCGTTTGCGGGGCGTATAGCCAGTCTTGTATAGAGAGAACAAGGAAATTGCCAGTCAATGCCTTGGTGACCCAAGCACTGTCGCCCAATCGCCTATGTAGCCAGCCCAAGTCACCCGCGCCCTCTTTGTTGCGCACCCAGCCAGAAGACAAAGCACAGACAGTAGAGAACTGATTCTGGCCTGTCTTGCCAGCGGCCGCTTCTGGGACAGTCAAGAATGCACACGACCTTCAGGTGTGTCCCCAGGCGACGCTGAAAGCAGGCTTTTTTGCGTCGCAGCTGCGGACTGCGCGCAAGGGCAAGATCGATGCGCAAAAAATTCACACGGCAAGGTGCGACGAAGGAAATGTTGTTACTCACCAATACGGTCGCGAAGCAGCGTCGTGGTGTTTTGTGGGCGTGTCGAAGGGTTGCACCAATGTTGAGGTTGTTGTCAGGACGGGCTCAGGAATGTAGGTCGGATTCCGAGGCGACGGCGGCAGAATTTGTAGTCGCGGTCAGCGCGTGCGCAGATATCATCTTCTCGCCTTGGCAAATCCGCTGCCAGTGACATTAGAGCGCGTGAACTGCCGGACCGTGACGAGGGAGGATATGGCTGTACGCAGCTACTGTTGATGGCCGTGTGCTCAGTGGTGAAGTGGTGAAGTGGTCAAGTGCCTTCCCTCACCTTCATCTTTCCAGCTTGGTCACCCACACGAGGTCGACTTTCACACCTCGGAAAGCTCCTAAATGGTTCAGTCCGCCTGTCATCAGGCTGATCCCGCAGCAGTTTGTCCATCACAAGCGAGTGAAAGCTGGGTAAGCCCGTGACTTGGACTAATGTGTGATTCGGGATAAAAAGGGTTGAGGGTCAGGCTCCGATCCGCCCATGACGGCCAGCAGACGACTCATTCGACATCGTGACAGCTACACTGGGCATTCTCAGCGAGCAACATCAGACCGTAGCTGGTTACATGTCGAGTCTCTCGGACGCCGAGCGTGAGGAAGACTTTTGGTACTCCGCCAAGTTCGCTGAACACCACCGGCTCAGATTTGCGCTGGAGTGAGTCTCTTACAATAGTCTCTTCGAATCAAGCACTCTGCAGAAAGATGTACCCTACGCTGAAGCGTTACTGAGACACCACCTCACCAGACTCAACAAGGAGAAATGAAGATTGACGCTGCCTGTTATCAGTGTCGATGTTGGCTTCATAGTCTAGCCGTACCGAGTCTAGCGTTTGACTTCCGATCCTGACGGACTTCTCCGCAGAGCCTCGTCAGTGTCATCAGCCTGGCCTTGAACGCCGCGCCACCCATTCCTCGCACTGTCCTGACCCAGCTGATGCTCGTCGACACTGTGCAATAATCTGTTCCGGTAGCGGGAGCTCAAGAGGCCGAGCCGCATTGCAGTCATCAGCTCGTAATATAAAGCCCTCCCACCTCTGTCTCGTAGCCAAGGTCGTAGACGCCGCAAAGGATGTCGGTTCTCCACCCGCTTGGATATGTCCACACATCAACCTCCCCTCTCGCCAAAATCTTTCGCCCACTTCTCAAACTCCTCGAGTCCCTTCTTGCTAACGCTTGGCCGAATGCTCTCTAGACTTGCCTCGAAGTCAACCATCTGAATTGGTCGAATCTGCTCCTTGGGCGTGTACAAAAGGGCTTCGCCAAGGTGTCGCAAAGGTCCCATTGCAGCATCTTTCGCCAGTGCTGTAATGTCTGAGCCTGAGTATCCTATTCCTCTTGGTTAGCGCTGTCGCGTCGACTGGGCATCAGCAGAGTACTCACCCTCTGTCAATTCCACCAACCTCCTGATATCCTCCTCGCTCAAGTCGTGTTTCTGATGCCCGAGCAACGTCCGGATCTGGGTATCTCTGGTCTCTGCCTCTGGTAACGGGATGTACTGCCGTCTAACAAACCGCCTTCGTGCCGCATCGTCAATATCCCACGGGCAATTTGTTGCCGCGAGCACCAAAACCCGGCTCGCATCCCCAACCGTTGTGTCTTTCCCCGCCGCTGCTCTCTGCAAGTCAGACCATTGAATCAGAAACTCCGTCTTGCTTCGCCGGGAGGCTTCATGCTCGCTCGACCCACTCCTCGCGCTGAGCAAGGAATCAATCTCGTCCACAAAGATGATGCTCGGCGCAAGTGCCTTCGCCAGCGCAAATAACGCTCGCACCAATTTCTCCGACTCGCCGTGCCATTTACTAGTCAGGCTACTAGCGCTGATGGCGAAGAATGTGCTCTTGCTTTCCGTGGCAACGGCCCTTGCGAGCATCGTTTTACCTGTCCCGGGCGGTCCGAACAGGAGCATGCCGCGAGCAGGTTCTCGTAAGCCCATAAACAGATCGGGTCTCAGAAAGGGGTATACCACGGCCTCCTTCAAGGCCTTCTTGGCTGCCGACAGCCCAGCGACATCATCCCAGTGTACTTCATCGCCTTTCACCACAATCTCATTGAGAATCTGTTTAGCAGCGTTTTCGTCCAGTCCTTTGGGTAGGTTCTTGAGGAGTTCCTTCATTCTTTTCTCCTGCGCGGATAGCCCGTCATCGTCTTCTGGCAACTCGCCGTCCGTGGATGGTGGAGTGATGGTATTTGCGCTCGGTGCTCTGGCCCCTTTGGGTCGTCTGGGCCTGTCCGGATTCCGCTTCGGTGTTTCATCTTCGGTGTCGGAGTGCACATCCCGTGTCGGTGGAGAGCGTCCTCTCGTGTCCAGCGCTGTGCCTGCGGCACCGACCGGTTTCCGACTGATATGAGACGAGCCGCCGGTGGTCGCAGGCCTCGGGTAGGCCTTTTCAAGTATGTTCCTCGCAAGCGGTTGCGGGACATTGTGTACCTTCGGAGGATATTCCCGGCGATACGTAATTTCTGGGGCTTTGGGTAGAGACGCTGGAGATCCTGTCCTTGCTTTGGCAACTGGCGGGCTTAGAGGTGGGGCATGTTGGGGCGGTGGAGGCGGTGCTCTCTCAGGTTCTGAGTCCAAGTCAATGAGACTTGGTGCAGATTCTGAAGTCAACTTCAGGCTCTCCATCGACCTGTTGATGATGGAAGGTGCCGGGACGGTTGTCGAGCTCGAAACGTCACGGTATCCTAGTTGTTGGGTGTAGTCAGGCACACTAAGTAGGGATGAAGCGTTAGACTTGCGCTGTTCTTCATATCGAGCTGTTGCTTCTTGGTCGATACTTCGGCGTGCCGCTGTCGCACTCAATCTTGCTTCGATGGTAGGATCTGATTCCGGTCGTTGAGGATAAGAATTCTTCCGCGGTTGAGAGTCCCACGCCAATCCCGCAGCTTTCATGGTTTCCGCTCGTTTATCACGACTCGAGGTCGACCGATATTTCATGAAACCTCGTTTTTCGGGCCGTAACGTGGTTCGCATGGGTTTCCTTCCGTGATCGGGGCTGGGGCTTCTCGAAGCCTTCGTAGAGGGCACGGGCAACGTTGGCGGAATTCCCAGAGGTGACGAGCGCACTCTAGATATTGGAGAAGAGCTGTCGGTCACGGCATGCTCGCTGCTTCGACTAACTCCTAGCGGTGGTCGTGGAGGTAAAGCCGGGGTGGCATTGGGTAGTTCGGACATATGCATGGGCGGTACGGTCTCTCCCCCCAGCCACGATCCGTGCTGCTCAGGCTTGGGCGTAGTCGCAGGTGAAGGGTTTGCTTTGGTCTTTTGGAGTCGTTTGCCTCCACCATTTCCACTCCCGTGGCCGCTCCCTGTGCTGTTGCCGTTTCTGTGCTCGAACTTCTCTTCCTTTCGCTGTTCAACCCCGACGTCCATCCGGCTTCGCTTCAGGGTTTCGAGCAGGTCCACCCGTTCCTTGCATTGCATCTCCAGCTCTTTGAGAGAGTCGTAAAGCGCGCGCTCGGTCTCCGACTTGGGCGAGTAATTCGAGGAGAGATTATAGGCCTTGTAATAGTTGATCTGGTCTAGTGCCGACTTCCATGAGCGCAGAGCCTCTGCCTCGTTGCCCTAGAGAAGAGAGTGAGTCACAGACCGATCGCGCATGCCCAGCGGGAGGATCTTTACCTGGCCTTCGAAGAATATGGCGGTAGAGCATTGAAGATAGGCCTCATCGTAGGTCTTTTGCATGGACGAGGAAGGCTTGCTCCGAAACATCTTGCCTGCTGAATCGACTTGGACATGCTCAGAGAGGTCGCATACAAAAATGAGAGACGGAAAGAGTGAGATCTGCTAGATTGCTTGAGTTCACTGTAGGACGGAGGCTGAGCCTCGCATCAATTGACCCTTGTGGAGGCGGAAAGGCAATATGAAGCAGGCAGTCACCATATGCGATGCCGTAGGAACCAGTCCCGCTGTCCGTTGCCCGCAGTCCGCTGCGCACACACGATGCCCGCGCATACGTCACCGGACCTGCCAGACCAAGACTAAGGGACGAGCGTTTGGCCAGCCATCACGCGAGCTTTAAGATGCCCGGTGCTCATGAGTGGTCTTGTCCCAGTGACGGTACTGTATGCCAGTATCTCTCCTAGGAGGATGACTTCCAAAAGTAAACAGAGGGGCCAGTGGCCCTCGTCACGCTCGAAAACATCAGAGACCCGCCAGGTAAGCACAGGCACGGAGTACCAAACAAGCATCCGGCTACCATATATTCATCTTCATTGCTGATGAGCCGGTCTATTTCCTTTGGGAGAAAGCCGAGGAAAATGATCAAGTCGCTCATTGCAGCCCACTTTTGGTAAATGTACAGTATTATCCAGAAGTCTCACCCAGACTCTGACCTGGTCCACCGACATGGAACGAACTGTCGGGAGCCGCTCATTGCCACAACGCCTTTTTGCCCGCATTCCCATGCCTGGCCAGGCATATGAAAATCGCGCCTGCGCCCTG